GCCCATCAGACCCAGGGTTAATTTGTCACTAAATACACATTTAACACAGAGATTATTCTGATCTATGACAATATCATCATACACCCAGGCTCTGGGCTAGGAGGTGTTGTACATAATACCCCTTTGTGTAAGCTAAAAGGTGGACACTTGTGTATTCAGATATCTGTTTGATCCTAGTTGATTGTAAATAAAAACAAAAGATATATCAAAATCAATATAAAAACAACAGATATATCAAAATCAATATAAAAACAACAGATATATGATGTCAGAGAAAGCAGTATTAACTAAAGTGACATTAATTGTAAAGGAGCGCCATTTATCAAGAAATGAACTGTAGGCAGTTTTGTAGTGTAATACATTTATAATTTTTTGACCTTTTGACTAAAATATATTATAATGAGACATAAAATCTCTTTTTATCTAACACGTTAAGATATGTAAATGAAATATTTTGTTTTCTAGATAATCTGTGGTGTGCAGGTTATTCCTGGAAAATCCATATATGATTCATAACAAACTCTGTTTTTTAGTTTATACCCAAGACATTATTGATAAAACAATATCATATGTTAATTCTGTCTTTAATTTCCATTAGATATTGTAGGCATATAGCAATGGAATTGTCTCTCACAGCAGCAGGATCATTGAATAAATGGTTTTTCTGACACAATTTTTACTGTTTCTGGTTTTATTCCTAGCCATTAATTCAAGGCGTATATAATTAATTAAGAGAAAGCCATTCCATATATAAAATAAATTTCTCCATCAAATAAGTTCTTTTCATTTGAGGACCGAGCAGGGAACTTTGATGCTATTGTATCATTGCAATAAAAACAGCACAAAAATATACTTCAAATGAATCCAGTGTAATAACTTAATTAGTGTAGATTAATTAGCAGTAGATTTAAAACCAATGTAGGTAAGAATTCAATGAATAATTGCCATCCCTAGTCTCGTTACAAAGAGTGGTATAATACATGTACTAGTGCTACACAGTTCCTAAACACCAGAGAATTCAGACTGTGGAGGCAAAGCACCATTACAGCTAGATAGGGGGATCCTCCAGTCTAGTCTCTTGTCATTATTTGAGCCTATGATGGATGGACTGCTCTAGAACTGTGGACATCCAGTGTCATCAATTTGAAATAATAGCCTAGCTACACATTTTGCTAGATATATTCAAATGCAGAACAAGTATTCTTTTAAAAAGGAATTATTGAGGATCCCTCATACTGTGTTTACTTCTTTTAAAACTATAAACTTAAAAATGGTGAATGCATAGAACAATTCAATAACTTCCTGAATGAGTTATCTTTCCCTTAAGGAATTGTATAAACAGTTTTTGGGACTTTGAGAAAATACTGTACGATAGAAAGTTTACATATTAAGTTTATCCGTACCTGGCATATTTCCCCAGGATAAATATTAATTGATTAATGAAGTATTAGTAACAGAAATTACTGTTGTCTACCAACAATGGGAAAACACATGCAAATATTCTATTCAATACCCTTGTACAATATCTTGGTCTAATGTGATATGTTAAGAATACTCGAATCAATTTCAAATTGTGTCATTTACTGTAGATTTTTGTAAATGCCATCTTACATCAAAGGGTAGATCACTCTAACTGCGTAGAAGTGATTTAGAACTCTTCAATGCATAGTAGTGACAACATCACAATTGCACACCAGTATTCTGAATTATATTTTTTTAAGTACTGAGTTTTCAGCCAATATACTGTAGATCACTAAATTTTCGCGACACCTTATGTTCGCGAGATAGTCAATGTCTTTTTATAAGCGAGACAAAATTTTCACGAATTTTAGTTATTGCTCTATATAATCATGAGGATTACTTTAATATGTGAGAATGAAATTTTCGTGAGCACACTGTCTTGCGTAATTATGCAAAAATAAAGTTTTCGTGAATAAAAAGTGATTTACAGTATTAGGATGGAGAATAATCTTTGTTTATTTGTTGATGTTAAGTTAATTATGATGTCATAATGGTAAACAACAATCAAAACCACATTGTTTATAAAAGAAAATGTTGGATTTGCATAGCACACTCGAGAACAATATTTATATTGGGTACTGGGAACAGTTATTGTCATGACCTTCTCTGGATATGACTTCATGTTAGAACTTGTATGATATTTTAGCAATTATATTGACAAGAGTAAATGCATTGAGAAGAAAAAAATCATACAAAATGATATGTAAAAGGTAGCTGTGACGAGTTTGTTTTTCCTGGGAAAAAATATGCAGTGCACATTTTTTGTGCTGTAAAAAACATGTACCAAGGTCTGTATAATTAAGAACTAAAACCCTGATTTGATGGGCTTTTACAATTCTAAAAATTTCTGTAAGCTTGGAATTTGGATTGCATGACTTTAATTGTCTAGACAGTAATCTGACTGTGTGGGGCCTGGTATCAAATGTTTAGGTTTCTTCGCAATTTCAATGTTAGCTTATAAGGATTCTAAATTTAGTATAATTGTTTTATTTTATTTTTTGTTACGGGATATTTAAATTACTCCAAACAAGTATTTGTATTTGAAAAATAGTTGCACATTGTACAGTACTTTACGAGGGTCATTCAAAAAAATATGTAGAAAATGTCGCTCTTTTATAAGAAATTCGAGATCCACACATTATCATTTTGCTGCAGTTTCATTTGAATTTATCATGATACATTATTTTAAAATTAACGTTTTGTCACCACAGAGCACTCTTTTCAACGTAACATCAAATCGTAATGTCATGACAGTTTCTCAAAAATGCACTACCTCTTCATTTTTCACACGGTCTGTGGCACCCAACCCCAATATTTCTAAGTTTAAATTTGCTAATAATTATTCAAATATTAAGATAATTCATCAATGTCTTCATTTTTTACCACGTAACTGCTTTCACTAGTTCCACAACTGTGAATCGCATATCCCTTTCCATGTCGTTACGGTTTTCACCAAGTTTTTACTGATAATTCACTTTCTTAGAGGCAGTTCATCACCAAAGACAAAGTCACTAAAACTCAAAAAAATCTTTTGACATTTATACACACTTGCAAAGCTAATTTTTTATTTATTTTCTGCTTCCTCCAGCTTTTTATGAGTTCGTTATGGAAATTTCCGACTGTAACACAAAACTCACTGCTCTGTGACTTCATTTTTTTTTCCTCTTTCAAAGAGCACTATTTGTCTTCTGCAATGAATTTCTGTTCAAAGAAACAATATATAACATCACAATTTGGCACATGAAATAATGTAACCATACTCAACTTGAATGTTTATTTTCTATTAAATTTGAAAATCATTTTAAATAGATATTTCAGATTATAGACTTTTTATTGTGTATTGGCTATTGCCATTACAGTACTAAATTTTGACTGTGACCCCATTTTTGTAGTTTTATATTTTATATATATATATATTTTTAAAAATCATGGTATATTAAAATTTTTAATTCAAATTATTCTGATATATTTTTGAAAATTTCTACCAAATTTATTCATAATATGAAATTGAAATTAAAAAAAAATTATGGCAGAAGTCTATAAATTTTTGGATTGACCCTTGTACTTCACTGAGTCTTGTTCCACTTAATATTTAAAAGCAAGTATTAAAAATATTTTGTTTTTTTTTTTAATTAAAAAAAAAAAAATAAAAAAAAAAGAATTATTTACACATGCTAACAAATACTGGATGGAAGGGTCTTCTTTATGTCATGTCTACTTTGGGTATTTATGTCCTTGAGTGTCTCGTTAGCTAAGGAAATATAATGTCCAATCGTGAAAGGCATTGCTTAAATTTGCTTCCTAAGACAAAAATAGGAATCTACCCTTAGCCTTCCTTTAGTTTTCCAGAGATATTGTTAAACATAATGGAGCAACCTTTTGGGGGAAATCATTATACATTAAAACTCAAAAACTTTTAGATCTCTGATATTATAAACCAAATGTCTGTTTTGCATTATACAGGAACATAAGTACTAGCAAGTTTAGTTATTGTATATCCAGATATATGTTATTTTAATTTTGCGGGGGTAATGACTATAATTAACACATTCAATCATGAAAAAGATACCTTTTTAAAATTGGGAATGGAGCCCTTCCTATTCCCTTGAGGGGCCCCAAATGGGGCCTTTCAATGGCCCCGACATAGGCAATCAAGAATTCTGAGATAGATACTTAAGATATACATTTTGGTGAGTGGAAAAGGGGGGTGGGGGTGGGGTTTGAGGGTTATGAGTGAGAGGTGGATAAGCTCCAGGTATTTCAGAATTTTAAAGTTGACTACATTGAGCATGGAGTTTATAATCTTGATTATATTTTTAACTGATAAATTCATGTCCTGATTTTGATTGTGACAGTGGATATCTACACAATGATCACAGAGTGTTAAAAAACCATTTCTGCCTGATTGAGTAATAGATCTGACAATGTCTAAACAATACTGTCAAACTTCTTAAGAATTCACAAGGACAGTCTGTAAATTCCAGATCTCAAATTCTGTGTTTTAAACCCCACATAGTAGTTTTGAAGAATGAATGAATTTGTCTTAGGTGGGCAGAAAATAAGAGAATCGCAATATACTAGTCTCATTCATGATTATTGACTTAGTCTTGATTTTGAGTTTCCTCAGTGAGGCCCGAGTTTTTACCGAGTGTGACATAGTAGCATCATTGATTGATTTTCTTACTAATGTTTGTTTTATTTTTGAGGCATTAATTCAGAGTTGAGTTGTTTTTAACCGAAAGTTTTCATATTTTAAAGGTACTGGGGTATTAGAATTGTTATCTACAAAATATTAAAAATTCATAAAGTCAAGAATTACATTTTATACATTGATTCAAAAATTTGTTCATGCTTTGACAAATTTTTAATTATACAGCCAAGTAAATAATTTTGCTTTTTGTTGTCACACACTAACAAAAACTTTTTGTTGAATTGATAATCTTTGTCTTTTCTAACTGTCCAATAAATTTTATTTGCAGAAGGACTTGGAGCAGGCAGACAGAATGCGTGGGACAGGGGACCAGCTAATTTCCCAGGACAGCTATGCGGTAGATTCAATCCGCCCAAAGTGTATTGAGCTTCAGCGAATGTGTGACCAGTACAAGTCACTACTGAGGAGACGGAGGGAGATGCTCAATAAGTCACATGATCTCCAGGACAGAATTGATAAGGTCAGAGGTCAAATTACTTTTAGTTCCTTGTTCCATAATATTGCTCTCCATATACCTTTCCATTTACCAAAAAATGTCTCGAAAAATAAATTGCTGTGAACCTCTTGTTGGCAGGACTATGTAATGTCAAAAAAAAAAAATTCCTACGTAATACAAATGATATTCAGAAATTTTATTTCAATTTTAATTTATGAGCCCCCAAAAGAAGAATTAAAGATACATCTACAACCTGATTTTGGTTTTTAAAGGCTTTGACTGGTTATAAATTTATTTCCCTTTTCAGTGCTTTTTTATCAATTGTCAATTAATATAGAACTGTTAAATGACCTAGATTTTTTTGTTACAGGCCAATAAATGGTGCAATAAGGGAGTGGAGCTGTTGTCTAACCTGCCACCAGAGCATTGTCAGTCAGCAGAGGACACACGGTCTGCCATCGAAGACATCGAGAACTTCATGACAACATCCAGTCAGCTCCGACTGAACAATCCCAAGGAGTTCCGACAACTGTTTGAGAGCATGATAACTCCCGAAACCAGGGTAGGTGATGGTATAAATTGTGTTTAACTTAGTATATGTATTAAAAATCATTGTATGAAATAGTTATATTTTCTGTGAGAAAATATGGTTGAATTGATTAAATAATAGTTAGCATAGTGTATCAACAAGACCCTAATGCCTGCCCATTAGATTTTTAAAAATAGGATTTTTTTTTGAAAATGTTTTAAAATATTGTTTGCACATAGATTTCAAATTTTTCAGAAAATTATTTTATTTGTAGACGGTAGTTCAAAAAGTTTTAAAGAAAATGGAGGACGTTAAAACGATGTTTGAAAAGAGACGACACAACTTCCAGGCCAACATCCATAACCGTCAACCCTCCAGCTCCGGGCCGATTCGAGCCGTTCATCCTGGGACAGACAGGAGTTCCGCAGACCGTCCTGAACGCTTACCCAAAGTCCCAAATGAATCTAACAAACAGATAGATATATACAACAAGTCTGCCAGAGTGAGTTTGTTTGCTACCGTAACTTGTAAAAAACAAAACAAATCCAAACTTGACCATACTTGAACAGACATTTATTAGATAATGTAAGTAGGGTTTCTTTTACACTGCCTTAGGTTTAGACTTTGGACAATTATTTACCATTTCCATTTTTGAAAAAGGTTCATACACTAGTATGATTTGTCTTTGTATAATTTTTTTTTATGTTCACGTTAATACTAATACTATAGAATATTTGATATTGACATTTATCAGTTACTCAGTAAAATGACTAGTAGAAAGTAATACTTTCTTATCTTTCTTGTGAGGGCTCTACTTTTTGACAAGATTCATCTTCTATCTATTGTATGCAAGCGGTCAGTTATAAAGTTTGAATTGATGTCATTAGTTCAAAAGAGTGCTGGCCAAAAAATCCTCAATAGTTGAACTCTTACCGTTTTAATGTGAAGAAGTTCGGCTACATCATGTATATATCGTAAGCCTCTTAGGGGAATTATTTTTTATTTTATTGGTAATATACAGATCAATGTTTGTTGGTTTGTTTACAAGTGTACGCAAATTTAAATGTCTAAAATAAATATCTTTATTAAAGTGTTAATACCCATGCATGGTGTGGTCAGTGTGAAATATGGTTTTTGAAATGAACATTAATCAGTCATTGAAGTGGGATTTAAGTTTATTAAAGTCCACTCAGCAGGGATATATATTGGACCAGACAGATCCTCTAGTGTTTTTGATCAGTTTCTTATGATAAAGCTGTCTCATAAATTTTCTTCTTATTACTTTTCATATCAATTATTGACATGCATACCTATACATGTACCAAGGTAATGTCTGTAAGATTTTCATAAATCATGGACTGTTCCTAAAGACCATCTATATATATTCAGATACTCTAATTATTTGCTTTAATGTTTGATTAGATATCAAGTTGTATTATCTACTGTGTGAATTTTACAGATACGGACAGATATGCCTTCTCATTCCCGCGCTTCTCAGCACACTGGCACCAGTGTCAGTAACATCTCTGACACAGGAAGTGAGAAAACGCGGAGCTCGTTGTCTTCCATGTCGTTAGGATCATCAATATCAGATATTGACACATTACTAGCAAAGCGAAGGTTAGTTAAATTTGTTTTATCAAAACTGTTTGGATTTGTAAAATGTATAACCAAAAAGATATTTAAAAAAAAAACTTTTAGAACTTAGAATTTTTACTGGTAATAGAATTACCAAGTAATCTATCATTATAGAGGTAAAACTCTTTTGACTATTTGAAATTTATTTTATATGACATATTTGCAGTGTAACAGAAAATGAATATATTTGAGTCGTATTTATTTTTTAAACATTTTTGATGTTCATTTTTGTAGACATGTATTGAATGAATTGATTGAATCAGAGAAAACCTATGTCTCACAGCTGGCAGACATTGTACATGTAGGTGGATTGGATTATATTTACATTGAAGTTCCTTTTACCTCCTCAACTTTATAAAATTTCAGTTCTTTGTTATAAGTATCAGATCAAATACATAAGGAAAAGGAGCATCACAGATGAAAAATTAATGCCATAACTGTCAATTTTTTAATAATCAGAGACTCCAGTCACCTGCTTATCTGCAGAGAGTGCTGTTTTTAATCAATCATTCATCAGATGAGATGATTTGCATGACTGAATTTTAATTTTTTTTGTTTTTCTAACAGGATTATGAACGTAAGCTGGACGACCCAGATATGAGACACTTGGTACCCGATGCCCTCAGAGGCAGAAAAGAAATCCTATTTGGGAATTTAGAACAAATCTACAGGTTCCATAAAGAGTAAGGATCTCCATATTTTATTCTTTTATATCTCCAACAATTAAATTAATTCTCTTGTAATTCTGAAGCTAATTCTGCTTATTTATTGACTTTTGTGTGGAGGAGATACATGTATTTATCAGCTTTGCCTGTTGTCAAATCCTTTTGATTTCTGTGAATAAAATATTGTTTTAATTAAATTAATTTATTTAATTGATTTCCCAAGATACTGATATGTGATTATCCAGTGATTTCATCTAGTGAGTGGTTGTCTAAATGACTCTAAGATATGGGAGGTAACGCTCATTGACTTTTCTTTACAGTAAATTTCTCCATGAATTAGAGGACTGCCATGATGCCCCAGTTAAAGTGGGACAATGTTTTACAAATAGAGTAAGTACTCAGTCACATTAATTAAATGTGAACTACCTAATGTTTGCAAATACAATAAAATTATTGTCATGTTTTAGTAAACTTATGATTTACAAACAGGCTAATCTTTTAACTTATTTTGGAAATGATGAATATTTAATTAAATTCTGTGAATTGAAAACACTGCTCATCCTCTTAATTTACCTGAGATAGAGTGATGTTAAATGTGCCTGATTGATTTTCCAGAAGGAAGAGTTCCATCTGTATAGTGTGTACTGTCAAAACAAGACTCGCTCAGAGACTCTCAGGAATCAGGTTGGAGATCAGAATCCATTCTTCCTGGTGAGCTAAATAGAGATATTCCATATTTAAAAGTCTTATGATGAGCTATACATTCATGGCACACATGACATATACCTCACTGTTAAATTCTTCTAGAAAAAAATATATTATTTTTTTTTATGTCAAAGTGTGAACTTAACAGTCTGGTATTACACAGATACATGTATCTTGCTGAAATGCTCCCAGTACGCAAAACAACCCACCACACAAAAATTTTCCCAGTATGCTTAATAGTTAATGAAATACTGAAATTTGCTTCCAAGAAGTTCTAATCAGTCACAAATTTCATTATTAAAATTGTCTGGCTAATGTTTTAGACAAAAAAAATCTTTATTGTGAGCTTCCAATTGTTCAGACTAAATTGTTTTACACACATGTACATATACGTAATGCCACTGATTGCACTTGAAAACTTTTACAAATGCTTATAATGTAGTTGATATTTGAGGTCTCTAGCTAATAAGTAACATAAAACTTTAAATTTAATTTATTTTATAAATTTTTAAATTTTTTAAGGAGTGCCAGAGACGACTTGGACACAAACTTCCACTGGGAGCCTATCTACTGAAACCGGTGCAGAGGATCACCAAATACCAATTGTTACTCAAGGTAACTAAACGTGTCATCTCATGATTATCCAGTAACTCTTTGATCTCTATGATGTCATGTCTCTATGATGTGACATCTCCATACAAATTGAATCACATCTGTGCTGGAACTTTTCAAAGCATCACCAAGTCTGATTTGTAAGAATAAGTTGAACACAATCATAATTGGAAAAACTTACCGTAAGGGAGGACCATAAATTAATTTTTTTTTCCCCCAATATGCTCACAGGAGATGTTATGCTTGAGAGATTGGTTTGCAGTGCTTACAGTGATGTTATTCACAATGATTGATTTCTGTTTACAGGAGATGTTACGGTTCAGTGACCATGATCAGACCTGCGAGGCCCACCTACAGGAAGCCCTGGATTGTATGTTGGAGGTCGTCCGCTACGTTAACGACAGTATGCACCAAGTATCCATTGTAGGCTTCCCTGTAAGTCTATGACAATCTTAAATCCCTATAATCTCAGAATTAAAGACACGGTTACTACCAACACTAGATTTCAGGTGAAGAAGATTGTGATGTCATTTTTACAGGTGCCATGTTTATTTTTCAGGGTAACCTTTCTGAACAAGGAAAGCTGATCATGCAGGGAAGTTTTCAGATGTCGACAGAGCACAAGGGTAAAATCAAGGACTTGAGATTTAAACCAATGCAGCGACACATGTTCCTTCATCAGAAGTCAATTCTCCTGTGTAAACGCAAGGAAGACACAAACAGCAGTGACAAAGTTGTCTACAGCTTCAAAAACCTCCTGAAGGTCAGGGTCAAAATTCAAATTATCCTTAATCTTATTGTCAGTTTAAAAAAAAAATTCTATCTATGTCAGATTTTAATCAGAGCATCCTCACTTTTTGGAAAACAGATCTTTCATACTGAGACATTTGCCCACAAAATTATGTTCTCATCCACAAAATTATGTTCTCATCCACAAAATTATGTTCTCACCCACAAAATTATGTTCTCACCCACAAAATTATGTTCTCACCCACAAAATTATGTTCTCATCCACAAAATTATGTTCTCACCCACAAAATTGTGTTCTCATCCACAAAATTATGTTCTCACCCACAAAATTATGTTCTCACCCACAAAATTATGTTCTCATCCACAAAATTATGTTCTCACCCACAAAATTATGTTCTCATCCACAAAATTATGTTCTCACCCACAAAATTATGTTCTCACCCACAAAGTTATGTTCTCACCCACAAAATTATGTTCTCACCCACAAAATTATGTTCTCATCCACAAAATTATGTTCTCATCCACAAAATTATGTTCTCACCCACAAAGTTATGTTCTCACCCACAAAGTTATGTTCTCATCCACAAAATTATGTTCTCATCCACAAAATTATGTTCTCACCCACAAAATTATGTTCTCACCCAAAAAATTATGTTCTCATCCACAAAATTATGTTCTCATCCACAAAATTATGTTCTCACCCACAAAATTATGTTCTCATCCACAAAATTATGTTCTCACCCACAAAATTATGTTCTCACCCACAAAGTTATGTTCTCACCCACAAAATTATGTTCTCACCCACAAAATTATGTTCTCACAAACTTAAACCACTCAATGAAAATTGGCCCCTATTATTTAAAATAAATAATGTTTAATCTATTTTTGTTCTACAGTTGTCTCAGGTTGGATTGACAGAAAATGTAAAGGGAGATAAGCGAAAGTTCGAGTTGTGGCTTCGTGGGAGGGAGGAGGTGTATATCATTCAGGTAAAAACATTTGCTTTCATTGAGAATTTATATAGAGTACATGTACTGGTTTATACATTATCAGCTTTCTCTTACTCTGTTTGACTGGACTTGTTTAGCTGATCATGAATTTTTCCATGTTTACAGGCCCCCAGTCTCGCTGTGAAAGAAATGTGGGTCAAAGAAATCAAAAGAGTGTTAATGAACCAGTTTGATGAAATCAAAGGTGAGGCATGAGAAGCATTTAGTGTTTAATTATGTATGTCACTAGGTAATAGAAATGACATGCTGTGAATTATGTGGAATATTTCTAGATTATTCTTCTATATACCTACTGTAAATGATTTAGTTTTCTAATTTAAGATTCTTTCTCTTGTAGCTGTGAATCACATGCATAATACTAGTAACAATTACCGAGTCCCTGATCAGGAGCCTAGCAATGGACACAGTTCTCGCAGGTAAGGGCCTACATTATCTAACTGTAAATAGGACTTAAAAATTGCATAATTATTCAAATGACAAAATATTGATGAGATATTGTAACATTTTATCAATCTTGTGATTTGATTGACAATTTTCACTCTTGTTTTTCAAATATCTACATGTATCTCTGTCTTTCTTTAGATATGTAGATAATTGGAGGACCCACAACCACATGATATTCAACAACATTTCCACTGTACCCCAGGGGCTAGAAATGATGTCTCCTGAGTCCCCACCCCGGGGCCCAAGGGAAGAAGATGGGGGTTGGGATACTGATGATTTTTCTGAAGGAGAGGAGGCAACGTCTCATCAAACCTACTCACCACCCACACAGAAACAGGTAAAACATGACACACACCTGTACAGAAACAGGTAAACCACAAAAAAAAAAAACTGTACAGAAACAGATTGAAAAAAGACACACATCTGTACAGAAATAAGTAAAATTATACATGTTTATATATATATATATATATATATATATATATATATATATATATATATATATATATATATATATATATATATATATATATATATATATACAAGTAAAAATGATGTATCTGTACATAAATATGTATGACATGATGCATATTCATACAGAAACAGGTTTTAAAATTAAACAAGTACATGTATATACGGTAAAGAAATAGAGAAAACACCATACATACTGTCTTCAGGGACATTTTTTAACCTTTCACCATCATTGCAAGCGGTCACAAAGAGTGAAATTTGTCCCAGCATACTTAAAGTACATTTAAGGCATGCAGTGACAATCTAAGAAATCCGCATAATTTCTACATGTGGATTGAACAGAATTTGTTATTTCGCAGAATTATAACCCCATGGATAAAATTAGGTTTACAGTATACAAAAACCAGGTAAACCATACATACCTGTACAGAAATAAAGGTAAAACATGATCTAAGTAATATAGTCTTTATTCTCTTGAATTTTTAGCCAGTTTACATGCAGCATTTCCGTTCCCTTGGTAACTACACAGCCAGTGACCCTTCAGAGTTGACCTTGTTAGAGGGTGATGTAGTCAAGGTTATAAAGACGGCATCCACAGGGTGGTGGTATGCCCAACACACGATCACTCAACAAGAGGGGTGGGTCCCCTCTACCTATATGGAACCACTGACAGACAACTCCCTTTCTAGTATCAGTAAGTTACCTCCCTTTTAGGGGAATATAATTTCTTTCTCTCATAGGGCTTGCTTTTCAATATTTATAACAATCACAAATGATTCTGAGAATTTTTTTTTCAAAATTGCAGATTAATTTTCTTGTAATAAGATGCAATTGAACTTAGTTGTCTCAAATACCAGGGATATGTTGAAGTGATTTGGCAGTACCAACAACTCTTTATGTTTTTTAACCTCGTTATTTTGAATTCTCAGACGTCTCAAAGATTTATCTTGGTTCCATTTAGTGTGAGATAATGAAAATTGACTGTAAATGCATGCAAATCAATAGAAGTAATACCAATGTATCCTTTTTAACAGATTCCAGTCCCCATGACTATAAATCCAGCTTAACCAGTGTGTATACTGCTAGTCCTGTGGACGAATCGACTGTATAACCAGAGTTACTCCCCTTTGCATTGTTGTACATTAATTGCTTTGAAATCCTTGTCAACTTATAAAGCTTGGAAATTTCTGACATCATTTGCTGCTGATAAGAATAACTTCAGACAGATGGAATATTTATTTACAGTTTACATGTATATCTACCTGCAAGGCAGTAAAAACAGTTCCCACATCTGTGTTTAGTTTTAACCCCATGAAAAAGTGAAATGATTTTAGACGACAGACTGAAAGTCATCAGATTTGTCTGTCTACATTTCTTTGGAGATGTGGTGTAAAATTTATGAAAGTAATCTATGAGTCTAACTTGTTAAACTGTTTTGAGGACCAATAAGTCATGGAACCTTGAAATTCAAAAGCAAGTATCCTTGGCCTTGGGAGTCAAGCTTTGTGGAAATGACATTGACCATTCATTGTTCTGAGTTGAAGATCGGAGAATGAGAGGGACATTGTAGGGGTCAAATTCCCAACGGAACATGGACACCAAAATGTCTATTCCAGTGGAGGCTCTATATACTACAGAACCTCCAGTCTTTCTAGTCGTACAATACTTTTGTTTTTGTTTGCAATAATCTCATGCCTTGTTTCATGTTTACATTCCACTTATTAACTACGCTCTAGTTGTTTTACAACATTCCAGAATGCATTTATTTATAGAATTTTACCAAATGTATTCCTCATTTTTATTCAACCTCAGATGTTCATTTTATATTGTATCCACTGTTAATGCTTTTTATAAAAGTGTAGAAGGCAAATAATTTTTTTTTACCTGGTACGTTCCTAAAAGTGCTTGGATACGAAAAAATATTTAGGAAAGACATGTAGAAACATAAAAATTATAGTTCTATTAATCTTCCGTTTTGAGGAACTTGGTTAATATTTTGTATTCATAGTTATGTTTTCAATCAAATACATGATCATGTATATTTTTATTCCATGCAGTGATGCATTTATAGGTCTTTCATCAATAGCTCCATTCAGTGTTATGTAATAAGCTACTGTACGTTACTATGCATCTCTCTCTCTCTCTCTCTCTTTGCTGTTTCCTGTGATACATATACAAGACCAAGTGCTGGTTGTAGCTCATGTAGAATGTATTATAAGAGGGAAAGTTTGGCTTTTATGAAAAATATTAGAAGGAAAAACAAAATGAATCGGTTGTATGATATTTTAATAAAAGCAGACAGTGCCATGCCCATACATCGTAAATAGAAGGTTGTCAGTAAAATTTTTATGCTCTTAAAATTTATTTTGCATGTCAAAATTATTTTTTACACCACCAGGCACATGTTGTTGTTTTTTCATTGGCAGAAACTTTTTTTGCTGTTAAAATTTGTTCTGCAGTACGTTATAAATATATATTGTTGCTATGAGATAGTTTGACATTTTATTAATGTTTATCATGTACATGTATTAAAGATTTACAAGTTACAAATATATGTTAAACTTTGGAGTAAAAACTTTATTAGAACAGTTAAATGGCTGTAAATATTTTTTTATATTAGGGACATTTAAAAATCTAATCGTGTCATACTGTTTGCTTGAATATTACATGCATTCCAGCAATTAATATTTTATCAAAATTTTTTGTATATGTATGTAGACCATGTTATTTATTACATTGTTTATGTTTTAATAATATATAGTATATGTATATGTCAGTTGTTATGGAGATTTCATTATTTCTGAAATTTACAAGAATAAAATCTAAACAGTTGTCTCAACATTTGTTTGTGTTGGATTTTTTTTTGAGACAGTTCATGTTCATATTGTTCTCTGATCTTAACTTATTTTGTCAAGTGTGAGCCTGTAAATGTTCAAAGTTATTGTCAGGACACACAGGGTGAACAGACGGATGGACATGACCAGTCATTTCTGATATACTCCAACCCTCATCCTTTGTGAGGATATAGATGGGTCCTTATTGACCATTGCTTCTCTCCAAATGTTTCAATTACTACTGTGGAATCATTATATTTCTTGAGGATTCAGATTTTGTGGGTACCTCTTCTCCACAAATTCACAACTTCTGTGAATTTAGAAATATAGAGAATGTTTTTCAAAGTAAGACACTGGCCCAAAACTTTACGTCCCCTCAAACCCATAAATTTTAGCAGTCTCACATAAATTGGCCCTGGCCCAAACACAACAAAATGATTCCAAAAAATGTGTTCTTTAATTAATGAGATTTATATTTTAGGATTTGTGTGTTGATTTTTTTGTTCTCATTTAATGTAATCAATTTAGAGTATTACATATGTACCCAAACTCCCATCTTCGCTAGCCAAGGGCTTCTGATACGCTACTCTCCTCATAAGCCCTAGGGTTTATGAGGAGAGTAGCGTATCAGAGACCCTTGGCTAGCGAAGATGCCAAACTCCAAATTTGTCCAAAATGATTCATGATCTTCAAAAACCCTAAATTTTAAATACACCTTAAAATCAGTGTTGGCATTCTGTATATAACTATAAATTTGTCTACATTTCCATCTTCCTTTGTTATGCCCCGCCATGAATATGGCCAGGACATATAGAGTTTGTCATGTCTGTCTTCTGTCCTTCCGTCCCGCTTTTGCGTTTAGCTCAGTTCAAAGCTCAGTTTCAAAGAAGTTATTCAAGATAATTTTATCAAACTTCATATGCTGATACATACTGATGTTAGCTTTTCAAAAGCATCAACATTTTTTGACTTTGACCTTGACCCCCACTTTTCTTATATTTGTGTTTTTTGTGTTTGACCCCCACTTTTCTTATATTTGTGTTTAGCTCAGTTTTAAAGAAACCATTCAAGAAAGTGTTATCAAACTTCATCTGGTGATATATACTGATGAGAACTATCAAATGCATCAACATTTTTGACCTTGACTTTCTTTTGACCTTGACCACATTTTTCTTAAATTAGTGTTTAGCTCAGTTTCAAATAAACCATTCAGGATAGTGTTATCAAACTTCATATGCTGATACATACTGATGTTAGTTTTTCAATTGCATCAACAATTTTTGACCTTGACCTCACTTTTCTTAAATTAGTGTTTAGCTCGGTTTTAAATAAACAATTCAAGATATTCGTTATCAAACTTCATATACTGATACATACTGATGAGAGCTATTCAACTGCATCAACATTTTTTTACCTTTCCTTTGACCTTGGCCTCATTTTCTTAAATAAGTGTTTAGCTCAGTTTCAAATAAATCATTCAGGATAGTGTTATTGAACTTCATTTGCTGATACATACTGTTGCGAGCTATTAAAGCATCAACAACTTTTGATCTTGACCTTTCCTTTGACCTTAACCTATCTTTTCTTAACTTAGTGTTTAGCTCAGTTTTTAAGAAAACATTCATGATATAATAATCAAACTTCATATGCTAATACATACTGATGTAAGCTTTTCAACTGCATTATCATTTTTTGACCTTTCCTTTGACCTTGACTCACTTTTCTTAAATTAGTTTAGCTCAGTTTTAAATAAACCATTCAGGATATTATCAAACTTAATATGCTGATATGTATTAGTGAGAGCTATTCAACTACATCAACATCTTTTGACCTTGCCCTTTCCTGTAACCTTGACCTCACTTTTCTTTGGTTTGCATTTTGCTTAGTTTTAAAGAAACTATTAATATATTTTTATGCAAGCTTATGCACTTATACATAATTTGGTGAGAATTTATCATCTATATCCAATTTTTTTTTTAGGTTTCAATTTCAATTTTAAAGAAACTATTCAAGACATTCTCATCAAACTTATACATTCATACAATTTTTCATGTTGCATTACATGTACTAATATACACTTTGCAGGCATTCATGTCCTATGGACATATTTCTAGTTTTTTCCGTTATTGAAGTAGTGTAGATGTAACTCAAGCTGTTCTGAGGAGGTTTATACACCAAATACTGTTCTCAAGTACATTCTCCTTAAATTGTTGGACACCATTACTATAGAACTTAATAAAAACCTCGAGATAACTTCTTTCAATTATTTTATTGTTCAGGATAACATTGAACAACTAGAAGTAAGATCTAACTTGCAATAAATTATTCACTGATCTGAATTGCACAATAAACAATGTTCAAAACTATTCTCTTTCACACAAACAAGAAGACCACAGGTAAATGTTCATCATCCATAGTTTTATAATTTAGACATAGTAATACTGTAGAGTTTAATAAAAGGTAGTGTAAAATAATTCACAATAACCATTTCTATATTACTCAAATTCCTGATTTGTAGTTATTGACGTTCATATTGTTTTAATAACATTAAATGGTGAATCATGCGAATACAGAACCTTCACAAACATAATCATTACAATATAACAGGAAGTTAGATATGTGATGGACCAGCAGGTCTACGTTGTAACAGGAAGTGAGATATGTGATGGACCAGATCTGGATTTGAACTCTGGCCCCCTGAACTATACATCAGCTAACAAACCTGCCCAACTGCCACAAATTTAGTGTATACTGTATACCACAAATCAATGTAACAGTGCACCTCATTATCGCAAAGATGAAAATGTACTACAGATTCCTTACATAATATCGTGAGGTCTTCATTTGGAGAAATGGCTTGTTGCTATCAACTTGCAATAACATACAGCAAACATAAAAAGACTATAGTTTTTGCAACCACTCCTGCATGATCTGTAAATATTGTTCGAAGAAAAGGAATATGTGAATTTTTTTTTTTTGGAAACTTTACTCAATGCCACAGTGTGCATGGTGTACTTCTTAATTTGGCAGTCAGACAGGTTAGATGGTGGCCAGATAGCTCAGTTGATAGAGCACCTGACAAGTGATTCAGGGGACCTGGTTTGATTCTGGTCTGGTCTGTCACATATCTCTCCTCATCACTATAAGCCTTTCTTTCTGACCAACTTAAATTCTGTATGAAATTCAAATCTAGCAGAGTGAGATTCCAGATGTTTGACATGATTTTATGTGAATATTAATTTCTCATGAATAATAAGGAATCTACAGTGTAAATTTTATCAATACTTGATTTACAGGCCTTCAGATAGCTTTAATCCAATTGATACTAAGAATATGATATTCCTGTATGTCGGTGGATTCATGCAATCTGAAAGTCGGTGAGTTAATTCAGGTTCTGTAGTAATTTGCATAAAAGAACTTATTATATATCATGAAAAAATTCTTAATGAACAGCATTAAGTAGACAACCGGGATAACCACACATAAAGCCTACTGTGAAATCACTTATTTTCATGGAGGTTTAATTTTCATTGTTTTGTGGTATGAAGAGATCCATGAAATTATGTCCACCACTCAATGATAAAATTTCAAATTAAGACAATACCACCCTTCTGAAATCACAAGAATCAAATCCCCTTGAACCAGGACTTTTTATCAAAACACGAAAATTTAACCCCATAAAAATTGGTGATTTTACAGTATTCTGTATTTCCATGACAACACTATGATGCCTGTATATATAACAGTACAGACAATTTGCTGTAAACATGTAAATATATCTATTACATGCACAAACTATCAACATTTTCTGTATCTTAAAAAACAGTTAAAACATATACTCTAAAAAAATATTAGCTGTGTGTGGATGTAAATAATTGATCAAATTTTAACACACATCAAACCTGTACAGACTGTATTTATAAAATTATAAATACAATGTATAAATAAAAATACAGTAATACAATGCGAGTTAATCGTAAAAATTTAAGTAAAATGTTCACTGTTCTGTGTATATTAAGACAAGCATAATTAACAAAAATCTTTTAAAATTCTCCCTCTACCATAAAGCAGTGGCTCCGATAAAAATTAAGAAAGCAGCATCAATTATTGGTCCCTGATTATGATAAGCTTGGTGCATAATTTTGGTTCACGTACACTTTCATGAAACTATTACAAGCCATATTATGATTTTACTCTTAAAACTAAAAATGAAAAGCTATCTCTCTCTCTCTCTCTCTCTCTCTCTTGTTTAATCTCAATACTGTCAGATCATAAGAAATCACCAGGTAACCTGATGGGATTATACTGGACAATTATTCTACACTGATAACAAACATTATTAAAATACCAGCATCTTTCCTCTGGTTACCTCAGTAAAATCAGAGGTTCAGAAAACACGGCTTTATACTATTGTATTAGAGAAATATGCTCATCTACAAGTAAACGTAATCCAGTCCAAAAATATATTCACCATAAATTGTCCTTCTGCTCTACACTCAAAGGAGTTAAATAAAATTTTAATAATTTTTAAATATGATAATGCATAAAAACAAACCTATCTGACAAAGCCATAAAGTCCCTCACAGAATGCACATATCTACTGTCTTGACCTCAATGATCAAGTGACCCCCAAACTTCTAATTCTTTAACCTTGACCTTTGATACAGTGACCTTAAAATCTATAGATCTGTTTCATGAATCTTCCTCTAACTGTGTAAGGAACAGGAAGTCACAAAATTTAAGAGAACACACTTCAACATCGAAAGACATTTCAGTAATTGACCATTTCTACTATGATCCCAGATAACATGACCTGCTTTCCTTTAATCAAAGTGGCCAATCATAAACTCTCTATCTTCTTACTTTTGGACCAACCCTATACTTCAAAATACAAAATGTATTTTATAGTGTCGGAGTGGTCAAAAAAATTAGAAAGACAGAGTGTGGGAGGAACCCATGATTTATAAGGCTACCTTTAAAAAATTGTTTGCCCTCTCCTGACTGATTGACTAAAAATGGCCCAACCCAAAACTTTTTTAACCTCCAGAAAACAGTCATCTTTTTAATTCACTCCGAAATGTTCTCATCTCATTAATAAATTTTATAAGTTCATATTCGCAGGCATTTTGGAAAAAAATTCCCCTACCTACCTATCCAATTTTTGTTTATCCTGAGTCAGGAGAGGGCAAGCAAACATTTTTTTTAAAAATGGCCCTACTGAAAAAATTCAAAATAAAATAGAAGCAATTCACAAGAAATTTGAATGATTTCAGATACAAATTAATTTGAATACACATACTGAATTATTTATCTTAAATCATGCATTTTTTAGTTTTCTAAAAGCTACTCCCTACATAAACAAACAGAACTTCAGTCAAACCGATTACAATGTAACCAGCATATAATGGAATTTGTTGATAGCAAGATCGTACTCAATCTAAAATGGATTTACAATCAGGTTCATGTAATAAACTAAATTTTTTTAATAACAACAAAATTTTGGCTATGTTGGCAAGTGTTATGCTGCAGGGCTCTTATTCAAGTTAAGGATACATACCACAAGCAAAATATTTGATGTGTGGAGTGGTAAATATTTTTTGACTGATTCTAAATTGAAATGACTTAAATAATATATTTCTAAAATGTAAAGCAATCGTATGATTTCTTTGATGTTCTGTGCCATTTTCTATACAAATTTTTGCATATATTTTATCACATTATAATAAAATCTTACAAAATTTCCACACTTACTATCGCAAAAAATATTCAATTACTATTATGAACATAACTCTATGAAATATATATTGATGATTTCGAAAAAACAAAGTTGGTTTGTCAATTGTGTTATTTATCCTTAAAACAGAGCATTGCTGTATTCAATTATGTCATGGCAAAAAATATTAATGGATGCAATACATATTTACATATTTACTTTTCATGAAATGGATTAAAGTGACATCCATTATTCTGGAAAGATAGAATTATCACTGAATGACTCATTCATGGCCTTGACTCGCTGAAGGAAGAGGTCCTTGGCATACTGATATAGGGCAATGTCCAAGGTGTTTAATTCTATGATCTTCTTCCACTGCTCAGGAGTAGGCTTTGTTTTCATACTGTGTGTCATGTTTAATTGATTAAAATCTCTGATAAATTCTATATGAAAGACATGCTCAAATAGCTTCTGAGTTTCAACCTGGAACTCTGTCAGTCCAAAAAAAGACAGATTACGCAGGTTTTCTTTGGCACTTTCTAACATCAGCGTGTTGCGTTCCTGTTCCGTCATTCCCGTCCTGTTGTAACAGTTAACCTTGCTGAGATTAGCCAACATTCTAGTCTGTCTGTTGTTGGCTAAATTAAATGGACACTTGATAAACTCGTTCAGTGTCACGTCTTCCCATGTCTCTGACTCGTAACAAAATGGCACTTCCTCCAGAGTAGCCTGACGTCCATTACAGTTGAGTTGTGCAGTTTTCCAGGTAGCACCGCGACGGACATGTTTCCACTCACTCAGGTATCGACTAACTGGGTCACGAAGAATTGTCACATAATGATATCTGTAATAAAATTATAATGATTGAGGAATGAGGATGCACTGTGATGATGACTTTTAAACTCAACTGAATTTCATGCTTCAATTCATTCAAAATATATCTGTCAATCATGTTGAGCATATCTTTACTGATCTATGTTTCAATACATTTATGGAAAAACTAGATGTGTCAGCATGCCACTGCTGACAATCAAGTTTTAAATATTTGAAAGTCCAAGGATAGGAAAATACTACAGGGTAGAAATGAGACAAAAATAAAATATCATACTACTGCTTATGTTTTCTTGAATTAGTTGTCAATACCAAAACATAATTAAGCTGCAAGAAATTGTTGATAAACTACAAACACATACCAAGACTAATTGTGTCAGTGTAACACGAATGCCCCCGCTGACATGTAAGTTTTAGATATAAGAAAGTCAGATGTTTTCACACTTCAGAATAATTTTGACTTCTGTGACAAAGGAATACCGGCACATGATAATTGTGTTCTAAAGACACTTAGGTGACTTATCCTAATACATGACTGAGAGCCTACATCCTTATCCTGCTTATCAGATGAAACTAATGGGACAAAAAACTGAAGTTCAGGGATCTCCCTAAATCACTTACATAATAATGTTGCATCACAAGTTGTGCCAAAAGCACTAGAAATCACCCCAGTGCAGATCTCTTTAGTGTTTAGTTTACAAAGAGATACATTAATTTACTGTAAACATTTCTCCTTCATTTGATCTGCCCATAATTTCATTGTAGCAGTTCTTTTCTGACATAATGAGTCAATAGAGACTTTACTGACTTCCCAAGTCAAAAAGTGATATACATCACTGTCAGTACACAGTTCACTCAAAACAATTCAATTCACCAGACGATTTAAAGCTTATTTATATTTTACAGTGGATAATCTCTATGCAAATCCATAGACTTGCACACAACATTATCACAATTGTTACCAACCCTAAAACTGTAACATCACTTTCTAAGGGATTGGTGAAAATTATACAACAATTATACTGACAGTTAACTTTTTACCCTTAAATCTTTGAGTGCTCCCTTTCCCCCCCCCCCCCCCCCCCTTCCCCCTTTTCAAACAAAAAGGAAAATTCATTAGTCCTTTTATTTACTTTTATATTCAATATCTTGCTGAAGAAAAAATGCTCACTCTTTTACAGGAAGTCTACTGATCAGAATACATGTATTTAGATTCTGCTATGAATTCAATTTTTTCAAATATGCTCAACTGTACAATACTCCCAGTTTTTAATGAAACAAGTGAGTTTCATTATAATCCTTAAATAGGACACTGCCAAACTTATACAGGTTAATTCAAACAATAGAGTTCAAATCAATTATTGTGTGTAATTTTCCCTAACACAAAATAGCCTGACATTTGGCGAAACATTATTGAAATTAAAACTTCTGCCATTATCAAGAAATTAACATGTTTACCATTTTCTATCGAATTGAAAAGAACTATATGTCACTGGGTTCACAAGTGTGTGAAAGTCAGTCAACATATTGGGTCTCAATAGCTCAGTGGTTAGAGCACTGGCACGGTACACCAGAGGCCCTGGGTTTGAGTCCCGGTTGAGACTTGATTTTTCTACACCTGTGACATTTGGCACCCAGTGTGGGGCATACCCACCATTCCCTAGGACCTATTCTCTTTAGAGAAGTGGACAGGCTTTCGCCTACATCCACTTCTCTTCGAGAGCCTTCATGTTTTGATTCTGGAAAACGTGTAAATCACGAACCGGTGACGGTCTACACTTCAACTGACACTTCGTCTAAAATACGTCTGAATGTACGTAATAGACGTGTTATATTATCAATTTTAACATAAATACACACAAATGTCACAAGAAAACTGACCTTTAAGTATTGTTAATCCATTTTCACAAGTTCTCCATCCCGGATTTAAATTATGTGCAAGTAACTCTTGAAGTATTCAAAAATCTCTAATTCGGATAAAAATGGAAACTATTTTTACAGAATAATAATGAAACAAGAGAAATCGTCTACTTTGTTTAAACTAAGGAGACAGTATTTCCTCAAGTTTCGTTCAAATTCTTTTGATCTTTGTTTTAAATTTTTTTTCATTTCTCGGGAAAGGAAGAGTTAATATCGTTTAAAAATAAAAGAAAATATTTTTTTAGTATTGTCAGTGAGGAAGTAATGAAGTATTTTTTAAAGCTCAAATTTACATTTAAATTGTATTAAGATAGTAAAAATAAGTATAGGTAATAATATTAATTTTGAATAATATGCTAAATCAAAAGTGAATTGTCAAAAACATTTTTTGAACATTAAAATGCGTCTTCGCAAATTTTTCCAAGTTATCCGACTTAAAATTTTCAATTTTTTTTAATAAGCTGTGGTAGATAAACATTAGTTTAAATCCGGGATGGAGAACTTGTGAAAATGGATTAACAATACTTAAAGGTCAGTTTTCTTGTGACATTTGTGTGTATTTATGTTAAAATTGATAATATAACACGTCTATTACGTACATTCAGACGTATTTTAGACGAAATGTCAGTTGAAGTGTAGACCGTCACCGGTTCGAGATTTACACGTTTTCCAGAATCAAAACATGAAGGCTTGCGAAGAGAAGTGGATGTAGGTGAAAGCCTGTCCACTTCTCTAAAGAGAATACCCTAGGACCATGCCTTACAGCATTTCCTTAACTCATAGAATTCGAGGACAAATTTTTACAAAGAGGGGGAATATGTCACCGGGTTTACATGTGTATGAAAGTCAGTCAACATATTGGGTCTCAATAGCTCAGTGGTTAGAGCCCTGGCATATGGTACGCCAGAGGCCCTGGGTTTGAGTCCCGGTTGAGACTTGATTTTTCCAACTGTGACAAATATATGGCAAAAGCATATTTTTGACCCCTAAAAATTCAAGATTTTAAAATCTCTATAAATGTACACAATTGTATACATATAATATATTGTTTGAAAAATCTGAATTGGTTCAAAATTATTATTGTTTGGAGGTAGATTTCTCCTTTGGGGGCAGATACTGGTCATTACAGAATATAGTCCTTTTGTAAGCAACAATGTTTAACCTGATATCTCCTTTAAATTAAGTATTTCACCCTCCCCTTTTACCTGAATGAGCAGAATAATCACCTTTTAACATCAAATTCAAATGTAATGCAAGATACAAGTTACAAAGGTTTCTTAACCCCAGTGATGAAAATTAAGTTCTATAAATGTTAAATTGACTATTTACTGGAGTGAAGAAACCTGTATCTTGTTGGTACCTTCTCTTTCTGTGCATGTTCTCTTTCTTGTCCATCTGTTCCTCCACACAGCTCTTCAGTTCTGTCCAGTCAGCATGAAGCCCGCAAACCCACCCAGTGGAATACCGACTGAATAACCATAATGTTTTCTTGCTAGTTAAGCAGTCACATCGCTTTATTCCCTTCACACACTTACATGGTTTATCTATGTCGAGATTCTTAACGAGGTGTCTTCCGAATGTGGTCCCACCTGTCTTTTGTATATGTAGAAACACTATAACATCTTCATCTTCCAGGTCAAGAGTGTATTCACGATTAATAACATAATCAGCAAACTTGTTTGGTATTAATTCCCCGTTTTTATACGTCTGTACGTATCTTATTAAGTTGTCCGAACCATGCGAACGATATGTTCTACCTGTGTATAAAACACACAGGAATGTGGTGATGGAGACAAAAGCTGCCACAATAACAAACCACTTCCTGTGACACTTGGACATTGCTGGCTCATTCTTCTATGTCATTTTAAATAATTATTATGTAGTAAAATATCAAAACAAAATATATGAAATGAATGAATATTACAAAAACCGGAAATGACAACAACTTGTTAAGTCGTGCCAGTACTATTCGTTCTCTTGTCTAAGATGTAACGATTTCGTAAACAAGCAGTTATCTACTGATGTTAAAAAGTTCGGTCTTTGATATGGCGTGGGAGATTGTTGCATAGAGTGTTGAAAAGTCATTAGTTTTGATGCTGTCTTTAATTTATCGTGAGATACAAATGATAGTGAATGGACATCTACAAAATTGTTATAAACACTCTCAAGTAGCAATATTAAGGCCTTGTGGGCATCATCGCACTTGCTGCTGATGCTGATGCGCACAAGTTGATATTATATAAAAATTGCATGTAATTGAGGGTACACTAAAAGAAAATTACACCAAGAAAAACAATGTCAACGAGACGCGATAGTTTTCGGGGGTGAAAATTTTCAATGTTACCCTCAAAACATGCAATATTCATATTATTCTGAATGATTTATACAAAAACATTTATTATACTTCATGTAATTAGTTGAATCTGATTCGTCGAGAAAGATTTTTTAATATATAAATATGCGCCTCGGTTGACAATGGTTTTCTTGGGGTGAAATTTTTCAATGTTACACTCAACTACATGCAATATTTATCATATTATACTGAACGTATTATACGAATACAAATAACATTATTTACATTTGCAAATATTTTTCTTAGATGAACCTATTGAAGAGAAAATATGTTCAATTCTGTATGAACTTATTAGGGGGTCAGAGGTCATGGCGTGACCGAATCACACAGCGAGATGATATCTTGTCCACATATTTCTGTCACAGTGACACTGGTTTCGGAACTTCTAAGCCGTTAAAGCGATGAAAAAGATAAAATTATTGAAACATATATGTTTATTTCGTTCAAAATATGATCATTAGTTCTTTCTCCGGTGTGAAGAATGTTTTTAATTAGCCTAAAATCACGCTTACCTTTTTAACCCGAAATTCCTTTGAAGGTATGTAAACTGAAGACGATTCCACCGCGTTTGACTTCATATATTAAGAACTCATACAATAATAGTAAGATTATTCTCAGTAACGATCATTGTTTTTTTCATTATGAACTGATATTTCCTAAACTGGACTGCTGAACATCAATGGAGGTATTCAAATGTTGGAGCGAGGCGAACTCTCAAGACCAAACAGCTTCTAGGTCATTGCGCGTCACAACATAGCAATACGGCAGGCCGTTCGTGTAATAAATGCAGTTCTTTTCAGAATATTCATCTCAAATGTAAATAAAAGTAATAAACAACAATGTTAAAAAGTTCACTGGGAAATGAACTTGGTTGGTACGTGATCAAATCTTCTGAGAAGCCCTTCGGGCTTCACAGGATTTGATCACGTGACCAACCAAGTTCATTTCCCAGAGAACTTTTTAACATTGTTGTTTATTTCTTAAGTGAACCTTGCGCACATACATTCTGCGCAGTCACTATTTTTTGGAATATCACCCGTCGTCAAGCAATGTTGACTGTTGCTACGCTGGAGGGCGTGGCTTCATCATTCAGCGGTGTTTTTTAACAAATGTTTCTCGACGAATCAGATTTGACTACTAGTAATTTACATGAAAGTATAATATAAAATATTATTACCCGCTGAATAATGAAGCTACGCCCTCCAGCATAGCAGCAGTCAATGTTGCTTGACGACGGGTGATTGACTGCGCAGAATTTATGTAATATGTATTTGTATAAGACATTCAGTATAACATAATAAATATTGCACATTGTTGAGTGTAACAATGAAAATTATCACCCCAAGAAAACCATTGTCAACCGAGGCGCAGCCGAGGATGACAATGGTTTTCTTGGGGTGATTTTTTTTTCAATGTTACACTCAACTACATGCAATTAAGAATATTTATATAATAGCAGTGAATAGCTAGTGCGCGTGTAGATTCTGTGCGGTCAACATTTTCTGGAATATCACCCGTCGTCAAGCAGTGCATGTTGACTGTTGTTACGTTCTGTCATGCTTGAGGACGTAGTTTCATCATTCAGAGGGTAATATAGTAAACAATGCAGACACTCTTTTTTCCTCTCTTTCGTTCCTTCCATCTATACATAACATACATATTTCCAGAAGGAAAAAAAGTAACACAGAACTAAAAACCAAAATAAACACAGAGGAAAGAGAAATTATCTGACTAACAAAAAAGGAATAAAGGAAGAGAGAGATCGAGAGAGAGATCGAACATATATTGTTTAAGATGGGTCAATGAGAGGTTAGAATAATTTTTGTGCTATAATTGTCTCCGAAAATAAAAACAAATACCTAACCCCCACCCATTTAAAATGTTCTACCGTTTAAAAATTATATATTGTCACGGGGATTCAGTTTAATTTGTTCTAGGAGCTGTCCTGAGATACATTCATCATTCTTACGAATGACATGCATAGACTCCATTCGTCCATTTTTTAATTCACCATTATTTTGACAATTCGCGTATGGTGATCATGTCTAACCGAACTGCCGAAGAATACCGGACTGCAGATAGCAGCAATCAGTGGCCGATTTAGGGGTGGTAAGAGAGTAAGAAAGGTATGCCCCTCTGTTGTCATCAGAATATGTAAGTGCAATTAAGTATATATATATATATATATATATATATATATATATATATATATATATATATATATATATATATATATATATATATATATATATATATCAGTACTTAGACAGACTTTGATCTAAAAGTTCGTCTTTCATTGTAAAGTATGGATCAGTAATAAAATATCTGATTTTATACCCAGGAAACATTTTTTTTTTTTTTGCATTTGATTAGTTTAGCCTATGGAAATCCATCGAAAAGCTTTAAAATGAAGTGTTTTTCCCCAGATAAAAGATAATGCATTATTTGTATTGATTATTAAGATATGCATACAAATGTATTTTTATTTCTATTGATATTACTGAATATTCAAGCTATTATGGTTGGATTGAAAGAACCCTTTTGAGAATCATGCGCGGATACAGGAAATTTTTTCCAGGGAGTGGGGGTCATACCCAATAAAAAAAATCCACCTCCATTTTTTTTTTTAAGTGAAACAACAACAATCACAACAAAAAAGTAAACATGCATGTCTAAAACTGGAAAACCTTTTTTGTGCATGTGTGTGTGTGTGGGGGGGGGGGGGGCAAGTTGCTTTCCTTCAGTTATCTGATTCACAGGCACCAGACGTTACTTATTTTTCTTTTAATAAAAAAATATTTACCCCCTACCTAATAATTCAAGTGAATTTATTATGTAGGGGGTTTATTTTTTTTTTTATTAAAAGAAAAGTAACATCAGGTGTCTGTGATCTGGTTATATATAAATGATTCTCCTCAAAATTTTATCTGGGATTTTCGGGGGGGGGGGGGGGGGGATTTTCTAATGGGTCCAAGCTAGGTAATATTTTCCTTACTTTACTAAACAAATTTAAAAAAATTAAAACCTAGATAAACGCATGAGAATTAGATCCATTGCACTTTTAAAAATTGTATCAGCTCTGAAATATTTGATCAGACACAAGCTCTTTTAAAAAAAACTTACGCCCTCTCCTTGAGTGCAATCTCTTCGAATTCCCTGTAATCACACTGCTCAACGTGTTATCGGCTATTCGGTTGTTATCGGGCATTCGGTGGATAACAACTTTTGACAGGTTATTAAATTATTGGAAATAAACACTATAAAAATAGAAACAGAGGCTGTTGATTGTGCTTTTTGTGAACAAGAATGAATACAGATACAAAATAAAGCCCCAATATATCCTATTATAGTATTTGTAAGTCTTGAGAAGACTTTAAAAGTCAAATTGTTATATTTTGCAAGTTTTTGGCCGATTGGCATTGCTGCATATAGCCCCTCTCTTCAGAATCCTTATATTTACCTTACATTAATTATTGTCCACAATATGACAACGTCAGAATCTCGCAAAGATGTGATTAAAGGGTAAAAATAGCCCTTTTTTAACTTTCAGGATGTTATCGGAAATGCGGTTGAATGGTTCACTTTGTTATCGGAAATCTCGGTTTTAGTTATCGGAAACAAAGGTTGTCATAGGTTAGGAAAAATCTACAGAAACAACAGAAATCTTCATTAAATCTAAATATTTAAAGTGGCAAGAACACAATTCTAATTTTTGGATATCATTTGTCTCTTTTTAGAATATGTAACTTTAAGAAAAGGAGTGTTTTTTGATCATGAATGTTTTGGCATATCTCATAATCACCGAAATGTGTATGATCTTGACCTTTTCGAAAATATCGTATTAGTTAATTCTCTGAATTATAAATCTCTGTTGTAACCAAAATACAAATGCCAAATTTATTTATTGAGATTCTTACGTTGCATTATGCGCAATATAAAAGCATTGCAATAATTGCTAAATTCACAGTAATTCACTCTTAGTTTTCTGTGTGTTGCCTTCCAGTTACGCACTGTTCTTCGCTTTTGTCTCTGTTTTCCTTGCTTCGTTTTTATTCCTTGACTTTGCATTTTTGATCTCCCCTTAACAGTCGTTGTTCCTTTTGTTAGAATTAAGTACATACATGTATTAGTTTGGTATAAAGCAATTAAAGAATCTAAACTCAAGGGTGGTTAAATGAATTTTCCAAAAGGGTGTTAGGCAAAATATGACCAAGAATTCCAACTTTTGAGAAAATAAAATGACTTTACTAGTTTACAAAAAGCGTTACTGACGGAAAGAAACTATTTTTAATGAAATATAAAGATAACTTATTCAAGTTCAAAAGTCTATTGAAACAGTGTACATTTGGAGCAGAGTAATCACGGAACTCTAACAACATCACATGTTGTTTCAGGGGCAAAGAAGGGATAAGCATCCCCTGTCGACCGATCACACCCGGGGAGTGCTCTTTGTCGTTATCGGCCGAATGGAAAATCCGTAGACAATTCAATGTATAGGTGGAGCTCATATTCGGATTTACGATAGGGGTGTCGGGGAGGTTCGGACCTCACCTGGAATTTACAGAGTTATATTGAATATTTATTTGTTTGTTTGTATGTATGTTGTTTAACGTCCCTCTCGAGAATTTTTCATTCATATGGAGACGCCACCACTTGCCGGTGGAGAGCTGCAAATTTTGTCCTATACTCGGCACTTACGGCCATTGAGCAGTGAGGGATCTTTTTCGTGCCAGCACCTACTGCGACACGGGGCCTCGATTTATACGGTCTCATCCGAAGGACCGGTCTCCACGTCCCACAGTGGGATTCGAACCCGCGACGTAAGGATCAACTCCTTACTTCGCGACTCTTGGAGCAGACGCTCTAACCACTGCGCCACGCGGGCGACTTGAATATTTATAGTGAAGCAAATAAAAAAGAAAAAGAACCTTGGCACACCCCCTTCCCCATTGAAAACGTGGATCACTGTTTGTAGAAAAGGTTAAACATGTGAAGAATTGAAGTGAATCGACCAGCGTTTGGGAAATGACTTTAACGTTTTGTTTTTTTTTTAATCAATTTTATTTATTTTTACTGAACAATGTTTTTGTACAAGGATAGTCTCCTTAAGTTTAATACATACCCAATTATAACAAGAAAGAAATATTTTTTCGCGGTATATTTGCACCTCATTCGATTTCCTCTATTTCAAACCTTAAAATGATTTGATACAAACAATGCTATCGCTCTGTATTGGACAAAACAAACTTTTAGCTCATTGGGGCACTTGAAATGACGATGTTTTTGCAAAAATGACATAATAGATCGTAAGACCTGACTAACTAAAGAAACTATAGATTTGTTGTACACATGCACATTTACGTCTGAAACCGATGGAAGCCAATAGTGGCTATCTTTAAAGGAAAACAGAAAAATGATTGAACAGATAAGTAGTTCTATCATAAAATCATAATTATTTACATGTATATCAAAAAACTAACAATGGACAGCTAGAAAATTTTCAAAAATCACTTAAAAAACATTACGTTTGTAATTTTCAAGGATTGACAGATTATAATGGACTTTTTTCCAATCTATTTCTAAAGGAAGGAAACTTTTTAACCTGAGTTTCCGATAACTTACACCCGTAAAAACCGAATTATCCGGCAACATCAACCTTGTTGACGATAACATGTTTTCACCTACCGAGACATTTTAGATGCCTGTTAACTAACCCTTAATTTGGATTTTTGATTTCAGTCTGCTTATCTACAGGTATATGATTGTCTATAGAATATATAAACTATTTTGTTTAATACAAAAAAAATGAAATTGACTTCTACAAAAGCTAAAATGTGATGACATATTCCGAAATTTTTATACAATATCATTTGAAAGAGTTGTAGATCTTTTGAAAGAGAGTGATTTGGTTTGTATTTTTTGCTGCTGAAAGTATAATCATATATCTGCCAAAGATCACAAACTTTGTTTGGTGGAGTACACAATTATCGTTGAATTAAGAAATTTAAAATCACCTACGTTTTGTAAACATTGCTTTTCTTGCACCGAATGCCCGATAACAACCGAATTGCCGATAACGCGTTGAGCAGTGTGGTAATTGGCATCAATATAATTTTCAAGACAGATTATTATAAAAAAAAAATTTGCTCTTGCTTAGCATCATCGTCGCAAGCCACGGGTTTTGTGTCCATTCTATTTCCACAAACAGAATGGACACAAAACCCGTGGCTTGCGACGATGGCTTAGCATAACATTATATCTGTCGCCCTTTAAAATTCTCGACTAACTTCGGTACAAGTTCTCTAGTACTGTTCTGCCCATGACAACAAATTAGCGTCAAAGATGGCGAACTTTTCTCCGGTTTGGTTAAACGAACACAAAGCCTTGGTTGACTACACTGACGTCGCAATTGCACCTTCAAAAGACTTCTATCATGTCTTTGTAACTCCAAAAGAGGTGATTTATGTTGAGTTTCTGTGATTTATAATGCACACAACTGTTATACGTATGCAAGATGCAACTTGAAAGTAAACAACGAACTTTTGAAGGTTAAGGTCAAATGCTGTATGACGCCGTCTCTTGTATTTTCATCGTATTTCCGCCATTTCTTTCTTTTTATTGAATAAGAGCATTTAATTTTTAAAAGTTTATATTTATTTATATAGTTCATTTTCCGAGTTTGGAAAATAGTGCCTCCCACTAGAGCAGACTCCCATATTCCTCCATACGAATTTAAGAACACATATGAAGAATTCAAACATGACGATCGATGTCATAGTAAGTCTGAAAAAAAACTTAAAATTATCTCATTCTTTCTTTAATTCAAGAAAGACTCAGATTAGTGAGAAAGACTGTATATTAGAAGTACACTTTTATATACATGTATATAACCTAAAACATTTTAACAAAGAAATTATAGATTTGTTGTATCAAAATAATCCTAATCTTCATGAACAATAGCTGCAGAACTGTAGCGTTATGGTTCTATGTTTCAGTCTTTGACCATAACACTACAGATCCCGTAATGCAAATATGGTGCAATTTACGGCGCAAGATTTTCTGCATCCTTTGGAGATGTATTTCACCACTTTCCAGCATTAATCAATCAACTACTTTTCATTCCCTAATTATAGACATATTCTATAACCAGTCTGTATATTTTATCCATCTCCTTATCCTTTCTAGTCGTCTCTTCAGACCAATAAACTCGCTTGTGTGAATTTTATGCTAGCATAAAGCTACAGTTCTGAAGCTACATGAACAATAATAATTCTAGATAGTGCAAATTTAACTAAGCCCCTGTTTGTTATTACTTAGCCCCTGTTTTTATGAAGAAATACACTGATGATATAATTTATATTGATATCTTTTTTAAAAAAAAAAAAGGTGAGATCGTCAGATTAGCTGGTGAACCAACATTAGACTATTTACTTGGTGTAAGGGATGGGAAACTAGACTATATTTGCCGTATTCCAAGGGAAGCACAAATCCGGATTATACTTAACTTGGATCTGGAAGACATCCAGAGATTGGGAAGAACTTGTAAAATGTTCAGAGAGGTGAGGGAGCATTATTTCAACAGTCAATTCAAATCCTAATATATAATCACAGTAGCCAGCATATTTTTAATTTTATCAACATTTTCAGTAGGAAATTTAGAAAATAAAATGTAATGCTTATTAGCTCTTCTGAACTTAAGATCCAAAAAGCTGAAATGCTATTGGCCAATGTGTGTGCTGACTGTGTGGAAAATGCTTCAACTATTTGGAATGTGAGCCATATCTCAAGAAATCCTTGGCCAATATTTATCAAATGTGGCACAGAGTATCCTTGCACCAGTGATCCTTAAACAAGAGGAGATAATATGGGCAATGTAAAATAGTTGTGGTTACTAAAAAATCTCAACAGTCAGTGGTCATCAATTTAAAAATGAGTATACATGTACATATTTTACATTTAAATTTTTCAAGGCATCGGGTATGGTCTCAAGGTCACTTCAGTACTGATCAAACACCATGAAGTGAAGGATCAAATTACCCCTTTCCTGTAATCTCCCCCCTTGGAGCTTTGCTCCTGGGAGCCTGCTTATGCAAGTCTATGTTCGGCCTCTTCAAATGAATCAATTCATCTCTTCACTTCTAATTAATGGAAAACCCTGATGTCAATAAACCTTGATGGTTGATTCATCTTGGGTCATGTCAATATAAAAGTAGGTCACAATCACCTGTAAACTTGAAATTTTTTGGCTGTTCATTTCTAAATCTTTTTAATGAGTTCAAGAACTATAAAACCTTGTTGATTGATGCATCTGAGGAGGGTTTAACAATTCAAGAGTAGGACACAGTGACTTACTATTAAGATTTTATGGATATTAATTTTCACATCTTTTTCTTGAATTTTTTCCCCTGTTCTGCAATTTATCTGAAGAGCAAATTCTAGGCCCCTGGGCCTCTTGTATATAAAAGTGGAATTATGCATAAAAGCCCTTAGAGTGAAAAAAAATCCTGTATTTCTCATGTTGTAGAGTGCTGGTAATTTCCTTTCATTAAATTATTGAAATTGTAAATGAGATAATTCCCACATTCAATTAATACAGTTCAACTTCAATAGAAAAGTGAAAAGAAAAAAAGAAAAGCTTAGATTTCATTTTTTAAGTTTCTGTATCTTGTTTTTATTGTGACTTGTTTTGTAGATCTGTAATTCTTGTGACCTTTGGGAGCGAATTTATCGTCGTTACAGTGAGACTCCAATTACACCAGAACTTGAGATGTTGGCTGCAGAGAGAGGATGGAGACGTTTATTCTTCACCAACAAACTGCAGCTTCAGGTAAAATCCAAATTGAAGTCAAAATGTACTGAACTACTGCACTAGGTAAACACCAAAGTAGTCTAAACTCAATTCAGATTAATCATTTACTTAACTTTAAATTAAATATTTAAATTAGACTAGTTCTTTTGGTTTTGTTAAGATTTATTTGTGTAACAGGAAAAGAGAAAATGTATGGCTGGACCGGGAATAGAACCCGGGACCCCTGCATCATTAATCAGGTGCTCTACAGATTGAGCTACCCATATTCATGCCCCAAACCATTAAATTCCTCCCTCCTTGAATTGTCTTTGCTCTCTAAGACACGACTCAAGTTCTTATTGCCCCTGGCAGGACTAATTCACCTGCAAGTCCAGGAATGGTCAACGGCACCAAATCTGTAACAGGAAAGGAGAAAATGTATGGCCAGACAAGGAATCGAACCTGGGACTCCTGCATCACTAATCTGGTGCTCTACTGACTGAGCTATCCATGGCTTAAACAAGAACTGCGAACGATAGCATTGTTCTCCCGCCTACCTCCAAGTCAATTTTCAAAAGTTAACATATTTGGATGATTTTTCATATCTAAATAAATATTTATATGAATTTTCATTAAACATTATTTCTTTGGGAAAACAAAGAGAGATAACTCTATAATTTGGGTAAAACTTGTGTTTTTCACTATAGAATTCAACGGAAAATATTTTTAAAACATCTTTCCCCCCCTGTGAAACAAAAATTCCTTTTTACAGGTAATATGGACTGTCATTTCACAAATTCATACCAAAGCTTTTTGTGTTTCACGGGGGGGGGGGGGGGGGGGGGGGAAATATGTTTACAGACAAAAACTACAAAAATGCTTATTTTTTCACCAATTTCAAAGGGTTTTACAACTAAAATATTGGAATTTATTAATAATATATGTTTAATTTTATTTGCGTAAAACATAAGAAAAGATTTGAGGAACATTTATTTATATCCAAGGATATTTTAAAATGTGTTGATGCCTTAAAGCCCGATTTCAATGGAAAATATCGTCTACCCCCCTTATTTTAATAGCTGGAACTAGGGGTAATTAACTATTTAACACTGGCATTAGAATTATCAGTAGGAGTGAAACGGTTCACCGCGGTATCGATGCACCGCGGTATTTTTTCTCGGTTTGATACACGGTGCAAAATCTCTAATTTTCGGTTTGGTTCATTTTTCGGTCGGGATCGTTATTCAGTTGGGTTTGAGATAAGGTGTAACACGTTACTCAGTATAAATAAGTATAGAAAACGTAAATTTTTGATGACTGATAGCTTGTAAAATAATTTTTGACAGTCAAATAATTTTAATCAATTTCTTCTAGTCAATTTGCAAATAAAATTCGTAAAATATGTGACTAGATTTAGAAAAAGAAAGCATAAAACAACGTTGAATTTGTTTCCTTCTATCAAAATGTATCGTATCGAAAATAACCGAACCGAGACAAAATTATACAATACGTATCGATTCGTGAAGGAGGTGTATCGTTTCACCCCTAAAATTCAATTACCATTGAACTGTTCTTTGAATTCAACAAAGATTCAACAGTCAAAGTGTCATTAGTATTGAATTAAATGGGTGTAAAATGTAGGCGGGAATCGAGAGTTAGCGTGTGTAGTTCTTTACATTTTTGTATTAATTCAAAGTTCTTTTTTTCATGAACTACTACCAGTGGAATATGATTATTTTTCAGTCATCTTCCAAACAAAGACACAAAACTTCACAATAACTTCTGTTACATTTTGTAAAAAAAATCCCAGGAAAAATTAAGGAATGATCCACTTAATTCCAAAGATGTTCAATTTATTTTTGCTTAAATGAAAAGTTGATCATTTGTTGAAATATAAGTATATTCATTAATTGTCTCTCAATTTTGAGAAAGTCATAATCATAAATGGAACTCATTACTGAAGGCTAGCATATTTCTCATAAATTCAATACATGTCCTTGTAATTTTCAAGAATGCATTGAAAGACCTTTTCTTAGCTCATGTTTCTTTCTTCTTCTTTTTTTTCAAACCACTTGTTTAAGCATCAGAAAGTTAAGATTATCACACGAATTCATGACAATGAATTCTCATTGTTGCAAAATTTTCTGTGATTTCTGAGATAATCTTGTTTTTGATTGGCAGTGTATAAAATTGATTTTATGGTATTCATTTTTAACTGGGTTTTGCGTAGGAAAATCCAGTTATTGAAATGCTGAAAACAGCAGGTGGGTGGCTACCAAAAGGGTACATATCATTTGTCCAGATAGATCCTCCTCTAGTTTTTAAGATAAAAAGTTTTTTATTTTGCAGATCAATTGTACATATATCAAGAGATGTGCATAGTACTGGTACTTGGATTTTGATTTTTAATATTTTATGAGAAAAATACCAGCTGTTATGCAAAAAATGTTCATAGGGTACATTGATATTGTTGGAATGTCACTACCTTAAGTTTTCAGAATTGAAATTTTTTTTTATAATTCATTGGAAAATACCAGAACTTTGTCCAGACAAAAGAAAATCCAGTTTGCTTTCACATTAACAGCTTTCCCCTTGTTTCAAAATGCTATGTCGGAAAATATGACCAACAACAATTAGAAAACTTACTTAAAATGATGAAATACTAGGTCATAGTATGTAAACTGAATATTTCTCATGAGCTTGTAACTTGTGATATTTTACAGATGCAGCTAAGGAGACTTAAGAAACATGAAGGTGGACACGCCTTTGTTACCGAGATGGAAACGGCCTAATTAGCAGTCCACGGAAATCTGCTCACCGTCCAGCATCTATTGTGATAACTTCTATACAATCAAACCAGTTCAAACTTCTGGTTGACTTATATGTGTAATTTATTGTGGGGTAATTTACATGTTTTATTTCAAAAATGCAAATCCATTTCAGATTTCCTGAAAGCTGATATTGACTTTATAGTGTTTTTTTTTTTAAATTTAAATATTTTCATTTTTTTTTCAGTCAAAGCTTGCCATAACTTTAAATAAAATTTAATTGTTTACTCTTAATGTGAGAGTACTCATTCCAGTACAAGTTTTTTCAATTTTGTTCTTTGGATATACACTTCTTAAAAAATATTGGGTTGTGAGCAAAAATTATGTGCATTTATTCTTAGTACATCACATGATCTGTTTGTTTATTGTGCCCTGCACTCGAATTGTATGAGTAATGTGTGTTGTTTTCATATAATACTGGCCAACATTATACTGCTTAAAATCAGTGTCTTAGATGCCTTAGATTTATATTTAGACAGCATATTTCCTTTCTGTATATTTTTTATTTATTTATTTTTTTTTAAAGAAAAATCAGTTATGCTTTGCATAATTATTACTTACAATTTAATTTGCCTTAATGTAAAATTCAAATTGTTGAATACCCTCAATGGAATTCTACCTAGATTAATGTCAACATTGAATTTTTAAAATAGTTTTGTGATTTTTTTTATTGTTGTTTGTGCCTACAAAATTTAGATCAGATTTTTATTAAATTTACTCTCTGTATGCTCAATGACCTAGTGCCATAAGTTTTAGTTTGGAGGATTGACTATGAGAATATTAAATTATACTTTTTTCTTAAACTGACTGTTTGTTTAAAATTATTCAGCATATATAGTTCTTCCAGGGATTTCAACTTGTTTAAACAGGCACTGCAGTATGATTTGAATTTTATTATATTATTGTGTTAAAACCCTTTCTGAGTAGCTTTGGAGCCTGACTTAAAATTTTATACTTATTATAAATTAAAATAGTCAGAATAAAATATCAGGTACTTTTTTTTAAATCTCATATTAATGTGGAGTTGTTTGAAACCATTCAAACCAATAATTAAATTAATTACTTATGCCAAACCTAGCATTTTCATTTAAAATGTTTTGAAATCAAGATAATTGGACAACTTAATCAATAAATAAGATGTTACCTTGTGTAAGTACCTGAAACTGCACATTTTTGATATGCAGTTTAGAAGGAATATTAAAATGATACTTATTCAGAATTTCTTGTGGAACAGAAAATGTTTTAAAGTTACATAAGAATGTGACGTATATTTATGTGTAGATAATATCATATTATAGTTACCATTAATTATCAAATAAAGATTAGAAGTCAACAGATCTTACTCTTTTTTCCAAAAAGGACGTTGTTTACGAAATATTTCAAGTATGAAATGACAACGATATATCGTGTTTTTCGGAATCTTTCTAAGTTTAACGATTTTAGAAGGAAGAAGTTAGAGGCGTTCCGGTGACGTATGACGGCGACGACATCCGAATTTTCAGGAAAACGAAACAGAACTTTTATTACCCTAAAAAATGGAATCAATTTTAAACGAAGTAGTTGATTCAGCAGATCTTAAGGTTTGTGACAAATTGCGATGGTGTTTTAAATGTACAAGAAAAAATAGGGAAGAAAAACATATTCAGAAATCCAAATTTCCTCTGACGGAATTAACTCGATGTCGACATAGTTGTATTGAAACACTGCTGAGTGAGTGAATCAGTCATTTTTATAAAAACTACAAATAGTAACTTGTCCTCAGCAAGGCATATGGCATTAAATGATACTGAATCTGACACATTTGTTCAGCTATCAGTATTACTGTGATCTTTTCCCCGTTTATTTGACATTTATCTCGGGATAGAGAATTTCTAGAAAAAAGTATACCTCATTTATGAATAGTGTGTAGTATAATTGCAGTAAACAAATAATACCTGACTTCCATTTTCTTATCCCAGAAATTTGAGTTGATGTACAATGACCAGCTTCGTCGAGGACAAGTGAGCGAGAAGGCCCAGTTTGAGTATGCCTGGTGTTTAGTGAGAAGTAAATACATAGATGATATGAAGAAAGGAGTGGCCCTACTAGAAGGTAGTGGTGAATGTTTCTAAAGCATGAAGATTTACACAATTTACACAGAGCACCATTATTAAGTTTAATAAAATGCATACATATGCCAAAGATTGTCATTGAAATCGTTATACAGTATTATAAAGTCAGAATGAAGTCAGTTGCCCTATTTATAACTCTATATGGGGTGATTTTATGTTGTTGTTTTTTTTTCAGATTTATTCAAGAAAGCATCAGATGACAATTCTCGTAGAGATTATTTATATTACATGTCAGTGGGCTACACTAGGATAAAGGTAAGGTTACGTGTGGTGTGTCCACAGGCACCTGGATCACGTACATCTCTGCATTACCCCCCTAACACCCCCCACCCCCCACCTCCACCCCTTACTGAAATAGAATTAAAGAGTTTATATTTTTATGTGATTTCCCCATCAATTCTATCTTTATGTCATTCTGTGCCATTGGTTTGTACTCATTTTCATTTCACAATTTGGCCATATACAAATATATAAATATATATAAAAATACACAAGGTAAGAAAAATAATTAATGAACAAAGGGGGATGTCCTTATTTTGAGACATTTTTCCAAATATTAAAAGTTAACCTATAAAATTTTGCAAACATTCTGTCAGGGAGATGTTCTCCTACTAGTCTCTTTAACCTAAACCCCACCCTTAGTGTTTTATATGCCATAATCAGATGAACACATAACATTTTCTCGATTGACAGAAATACAGGAGTTTCTAATGTACACCTCTCTTTTTTGCTTATCTGATCAATGAATAATTCACTCTGCTGATTAGTCAGATGAAGCAAATTGAAGCGACAACATTAAATCCTCCTGTATCGGTGTCAAAGAGATAACAGAATGATTTAGAGATTGAATTGATGGGGAAATCACATATATTCGTAAAAATATAGAATCATTAATTCTATTATGGTACTTTAAAGGGGGGGGGGGGTAATGCAGAGATGTACCTTATCAATGCTTCAGGTACTTATGGTTTTGTCTTCTTATTAATGCCAAGTGATATTACACATCAGTGAGATATACTAGTATTAAGGTGAGACTATATGAACTATTGTACAAGTTTTGTTGGGCATTCTAATTACTTACATATAAATATATAGTTTATTTCAACAAATTTTAATATAATATAGTCTATAAATAGCCCCTATATAATCTATACAAATGCAAATGGTTCATAACACTACATATTCACTGGATTTGAAGCCGTATTCACCGGAGGGTCAGTGCACGTGCAGCGGCATTGTGATGGCACAATCAATACCCCAACGTTAACGACGGCTAGAGCCACTGTGTATCTGAGCAGGAAAAATGTTAGGCAAGACTATCGCAGGATTATTTTCCAAACATTTCGATGTTTTACACGAAGCAAAATGAAATCACGGAAGTCATAAGTTGTATAATCTGTATGTTTTTTTTTCTACGACAGAGGTTCGTTAATGAAAAAAAAGTATCATCGTGCAGCCTTCAATGTCTTATTTATTCAAATCTGGACTATATAATAAAACAAATATGGACTCTCTAGGTGGTGACTATAGTTTGTTATTCCTCAGAAAAATATCAATATTGACCTCGGCTTCGCCTTGGTCAATATTGATATTTTTCTGGTGAATAACAAATCATATTCACCACCTAGAGAGTCCATAATTGTATAATATAATATACATATGTAGTTAATTTAGAATGAAACCAATCTCATGATTTTCACTGCAGGAATACCCCCAGGCTCTTAAATATGTCAAAGCCCTACAAAAAATAGAACCTGGGAATCACCAAGCTTTAGAATTACAGAAATATATTGAAAAGAAAATGACCAAAGGTGAGGTTTCTAGTTAAGATATGGTAGTACAGTCGAACTTCATTATCTCAAAAATCTGAATCTCTAATACCATGGATATGTTAAAGTGAGTTAAAAAATCCCAACTGCATTTTCTGTACGTATTTTAACACTGATATCTTGAATTATATGATAAATTGAAGTTTTTTGAGAGATAATTTTTTTCCTTTATTATAAATTTTCACATATTAATACAAGTGACTAAGTTTTAGTGCTAAATGGCACATTTTTCACAGGATGAAAAGCATAAAGTGTATCGAAAAAAAAGTTGTAAAATCATCTTTCTTTTACAGAGGGTATACTGGGTATGGCTATTGTGGGCGGAGCTGCTCTGGCGATAGGGGGATTGGTGAGCCTCGGTATAGCTCTGTCTAAAAAGTGAACAGGTTTTTTAAGGACCAGTTTGTGTTAATATTAAGGGACCTTTATTTGAATGAGGACAAGTGTCTGAGATTGTTCAGTTCAGATTCTCTGAAGTTTGTTGATGTGAGTGATAGCGGTACTTGGTGACAAGAACTTAGGGAGACTGTTGACCAAATAGTTATGCTTCTGTTTACCATAATGCGTTAATGTTTTTAATTTATGTTTGTTTATTTACAAAATGATAAAAAAATTGTTTGAAAATGTACCATGTATTTACATTGATAATGAGATTAATTGATTAAAAATGCTTCTACTTGTATAATGATCATAATTGTTTTAGCTAGTTTATTTGGCAGAGGTAGTTCCTGGTGGTTCTAGGATTTTTCTCACATAGAGACTAGTCAAACATTGAGGTCTTGAAGAATAAAGCACATAACTCTAAACTGATAAGTCTAGTGGCAGTAAAAACAAGATATGTTTGTGAAATACTGATGCCCCCATATGGCAGTCCATTAATAAGGCTACAGACCTGTGGAAATCTGTCGGTCCTGTTGACAAGACTGGTAAAAATTGTCTGGACCGATTACTTTCAAGAAAACGTTGGTCCAAATGACTGTTTGAAAAAAATTGAGTGTGATCCAAATTTTAAAAAGATCGGGGTCGGATTGCGCAGGTGAAGGTCACAAAACAGAAGAGATGGCCGCATGGTGACGATAGTCAATTTAATTGACATGAAACATGTCATTTTATGATTTATGTTTCTTATTAAAGACTCTATTCCTAAGAAAAGAAACTTGTGAGATTGAACGCTGTTGAAAATAATAACGTGCATATTGGAGCAGTTATTAATTTTCCTTTCTCAGCGTCATAATAAGGTACATGTATCTGGTCTGACAAAATGTACTTCGTCCAGTCCGACAGAACATTTGACTTTGTCAGACCAAATGTCTGACAGTGATTTCAAAATTTCGACAAGTCTGGCGGCAAGTCTTTCAAAAGTACTTGGTAGGTCAAGCTCCAAGGTCAAGGTCAGGAGGTCAAAAATGATGGTACCATAAGAAGGGTCTTGTCACAAGGAATATTACACATATGAAATATGTACTCACAGAGAGAAATGCATTAAATTGTACTTGCACAGAGTAGTGCACATTGATGTACTCATAGAGAATATTGCACTAGAATGTACTCACAAAGAGTAGTACACTATGATGTACTCACAGAGAGTAGTACATTTAAATATAAACACAGAGTGTCACACTAAAATTACAGAGAAGATTGCATTCAAATCTCTCATAGAAAGTAGTGCACTAACATGTATTCACAGAAAGTTGTGCACTAAAATGTACTCACTGTGAGTAGTGCACTCAATGTACTCATAGAAAGAGTACACTGAAATGTGTTTACAGAGAGTAGTGCACCAGAATATACTCGAAGAGAGTAGTGTACTAAAATGTACTCATAGAAATTGTTGCACTAAAATATGTTATAGAGAGTAGATCACTAAAATGTAGAACTAGCACAGAATGTACTAGACTCATTCGAATCTACTAACACAGAATGTAATTGACTCATTAGAATGTATTAACATAGAATTTAAATAAAACTCTTTGAAATGTCCTCACTGAAATGTCCTCACACAGAGTGTTGGTCTAATAGACTCATTGGAATGTACATGTATTAACACAGAATGCACAGAGTCTTTGGTACATATATAGAATGCAAAAGACTCATTGGAATGCATTTACATAGAATGTAATAGAGTCATTGCAATGATGAACACAGAATGTAATAGAGTAAATTGTAATGCTCTAATACAGAATGTAATAGAGTAAATTGCAATGCTCTTATACAGAATGTAATAGAATAAATTGGAATGTACCAACACAGATCATAACTGACACATTGAAATGTCCTCACATGGAGTGCAATAGGCTCATTGAAATGTTACCCAAAGAGTGTAATAAACTCTTTAAAATGTCTTTACACAAAGTGTAATATACTTTGAAATGTCCTCAAAATAGAATGTAATATCCTTACAATAATTGAAATAAACTTGTTGAAATGTACACATTCAGAGTGTAAATAACTCAAGAAATGTCTGCACACAAAGTGCAAAAGACTCACTGCAATATACTCATGCATAATGTAACGGACTCATTGAAATGTCTTTGCAGAGAGCGAGTGTGATAGATTTATTGAAATGACCTCACACAGTGTAATAGACACATTAAAGGTGTTTGGACACAGATTTGAAGTTAATATTTTCTCAAATTTTTTGTATAATTTCATGACTTATATGTTGATATATCATTTCATACTGAAATATAATAAAAATCTTATTTCATCTCGAAGTTATTAAAACTTCGGATTTCTGGACGCGTTGGATTGACACATCCTTGCGCTTTCACATATTTTAATTTTATTCTTAATACTTAAGAAAAGTGGCAATTTTGTTGTGTATTAATGAAAAATATTAAAACTATAACCCAGAAAATTCAGAGTAGAAATGTTCGAAAGCAAAACCCACTCACAGCATTGTTAAGTCCTTGCTCAGTGGTATGTGCAGAATTTAACAATTGAACACACCCGCTGAATTGTAAACATAACAATAACAGAGCTCGAGCCCTGCTTACAAAAACAATTTACGTTTCATGGGTGTGTTCAATTTGTTAAACTGTACACATCATAGAGCACGGACTGACAATACTGATGAGTTGATTTTGCTTTCGAACATTTCTACTCTGAATTTTCTGGATTATAGGTGTAATATTTTTCATTAATACATAACAAAATCGCTTCTTTTCTTAAATATTAAGGATAAAGTTAAAATTTGTGTAAGTGCAAAGATGTGTTAATCAAATGCGTCCCGGAATTCATAGTTCCAATAATTTCCAAATAAAATAAGTTTTTAATTATATTTTCGTGTGAAATGCTATTGCAATATATAAGTTGAGATATTATACAGAAAATTTGAGAAAATATTAAGTTCAAATCTGTGTCTAAGCACCTTTAAAATGTCCTCAGAGTGTTCCAGACTCATTAAATGTCCTTACACAGAGTGTTACAGACTCATTAAAATGTCCTCACACAAAGTGTTACAGACTCATTAAATGTCCTCACACAGAGTGTAATAGACTCATTAAATAGTCCTCACACAGAGTGTTGTAGACTTGAATGTCCTTACACAAATTGTTACACTCATTAAAATTTCCTCACATGGAGTGTTCAAGACTCATTAAAATGTACTCACACAGAGTGTAATTGACACGTTGACTCATTAAATGTCCTCACACAGAGTGTAATAGACTCATTAAATAGTCCTCACACAGAGTGTTGTAGACTTAAATGTCCTTACACAAATTGTTACACTCATTAAAATTTCCTCACATGGAGTGTTCAAGACTCATTAAAATGTACTCACACAGAGTGTAATTGACACATTGAAATGTCCTCACACAGAGTGTAATTTTGTTACACTCAGAAAGATCTTGCTACAGAAGGTACTAGGAAATTCACTACAATATCCAAGGAGAGAATGTTATTCTCTTTTGGTAGGATGATTGGCCAGTACAAGCCTGCTCCACTACTTTCCATAAATGTAACTATAACACTGTAATTATGCATTTTATTCAGAATTTATTTGATTTAACTTTGCTTCCTTTAGATTACACTGATTGAGGTGAGCTTTGTAATCTTTGATTATGTTCTATGTATTTGTGAACATTCATTATGCAATAAGAAATTATTTCAATATTTCTGATGCTACGTTAAGAGATGTTTCATCACAGATTAAGACCAGGTAATGCTGAGTGTCTTTATTGTTTACTGTGCCAGTATATTTTTACATTGATCATATAAAGTAAAGCAGAACCTATACATCTTACAAGCTGTATACAGATATAATCGACTTCTTCATGATACACTTAGTACATAGCAGATAACCAGTAGTTTATAGCATAAATGTACAAAATACAGTGTCATTATAACACATGCTCTGTTTACGTAAACCTCAACAGAGCCCCAGATCTGGTACATCTTAAATTTGTACCAAGATTATTATCTATCATACATACAGAAACTTCATGATTTTTACAAATTAAAAAAAGTTTACCGGTATATAGCATGTTTGTTATCCTGGAACATAAATATCTTTCATTCGGAGGTCAAAAATTGTAATGTTCATTAGTTTTATTTATCTTGTTTGACACCACTTACTTAGATTTCTATTACAGCTGATTGTCAATAGAACTTTATTCAAGATGAATTTAAACTCTGCCGAAGCAAGAACATATGTTACATTAATCTGTGGTCAAAATGATGGAAAAAATTGCAAATGTACACCACTTAATACAGCTATATATTGTTTGCATACATATGTTTATATATGTTACATTTTGTTTTAATTTCACCAAAATAAAAAAAAAGTACTATTTGTTAAAGATTCACTTTAAAACAGAATTAATTACTTTGAGAATTGTAAAAATGATACATGTACTATGTGTGACAAAGTTTGCTTATCATATCACCTGTCATGACTAAACTGAAACATGAACCATAATTCTAATCTATCACACAATTAGAAATTTGACAACCTAGGTACATTATAAGTAAAGCATATTGCACTTGTCTCTGTGGTAAAATATATATTCCATCATCACAATTGTTATACGGAATGTCCATATAAAGCTATGGGGTGTAATCTTTGGTGCCTGTTCTTGTAAATGCCACACTGTGCCAAAGTAGAACAAACCAAAATGTCACACCGCTTGAACTTTTGAAAGAATATTTCCTTGTCACCTTAGCAATAACTTCTCTCCAAAATTATTTCACAGGATCATTCAAATCTGTTCCACATATTATAACTTTCAGCATTGCTGAAGATTACATCCTCCATAAGAATCAAATTTTCAAATGCAAATACATGTCACTAAAACTCCACAACTGTCACAAAAAGAAATCTTCAATGATGTCACAACAATGACCGTTCTATCATGATGTCACAACAGTGACTGTTCTATCATGATGCTGTCAAATCCATCAGGTGGTTGATGGTAGAATTTGTCAAACTGGACATCAATAACTGCTCCCTCATCCACTGAAAGAAATACAAGTACAGTTATACACTGCATTGTCTCCTGTTGCAAAAGATGCCTACATGCTATACTATAGCACTATAATAAAGTGGATTGGAGTTTACATAAAAACCCTACAACTATATGTACCATGGACCTTTGACAATTTGCAGACAAATTTTCAACTGGAACTTGCAATCTCTCTTAAATTATATGACATGACTTTGCAAATTTTGATTCAAATTTCTGTTAACACAAGTCCAATCACTGCATTTTCATATAAATCCTAATTTCACATGTCATTATTTAAATACTTTTTATGGTAAAATCATGCAAATAATTTTCAAAAAATGTACCATAAAACACTGGATACAAAGTCCCTTTCATTCCTGTAAGTGGACAAGACAAAGGGTGGCCATTCAGGTAGAAGTTTAACTGGACATGATCATATGTAAGACCCTTTAAAAAAGATGAGAAGGTTACAATGGTACAAAATATACTGCCAGTCCGGTTTATCGAAGTGGGAAACAAATTAACAAAATCTCAAAATAAAATGGCTGTTCCTGGCTAGAAATCCAATTATGAATTATCTAAAGGGAACAATTACTTTACTAAAGAATTTTATTTCTCTATGGCAAAAAATATTCTGGAGAAATTGAAAGTCCTCCCCTCACCAAAACATCTCCTTCCTGAGGAGTTTCTGAAAGCTTCCCTCTCTGTTGTTTGTCATGGAATAGAGATCCATCATGTCTGAGGACCCAGGACTCTGTGTTGTCTCCGAGTGGCACTGTGTTCAAGTTGCACCTTCTTGTGGCCAATCCTACCCCCCATACACCTAGTATTGATTAAATACATCATCTTATTTCTATATGATCATATAATTTAAATTCCTTCAACAAATCTTAAAATCTTTTTAAGAACAACAAAACTTAAAGCTGAACATAGCTCGTAAATAAGCATAGCCATATTAGTTTTCCATCTCCCATATCGGCACTGGAGTATACCCTTTGCATTCATTACACCTCATTGCTTTCTTGTCACAAGTATCTTCCTGGAATGGATGACACATGTTCATGTTGGTTATCTTACATTACTGTTGCTTACATTTTATTGCAGTTTACGTGAGTTTGTTTGTAAACTGCACTGACCTGTCAACTGATGTAAGTTTCTTTGGTAACTTTCTCTTCTGCCGTGAAAGAAGCACACAGTTACTTTTGATGCTACCAAGAGTTTTACAAGAGCTATGTAGAATACATCTGTCTAAATTGGTGTCTCCACATTCCTCCCTCCTTAAATGCCCCAACCCCCAAAAATATCAACCTTGTTAGCTGCAGAACTGTAGCTCTCCAAGAAAAAAATATTGACAGACTGAAGAGCTACAGTACCATTCATAGAAAAAACAGTATAATATTATTTATTGTGTACAGAGTTGAGTTCAGTTCTTGATTTATTTCTCCAAATTCTAACCTCAACTGCACAAAAGCTTGATTTCAAAAAATTCCTTAGACCTCTATCAACTACTCTCATAGTTGACATCTACACAAAGTGTGTTGGATTGAATTGCAGGGCTAAATTGTCTATAATTGGGGCCATTCAAGGGCCCCATTCCCAATTTAAAAAGATACCTTTTTCCCCATTGAATGTAATAATTTTCCAAATAGTCCTTTCTCCCAAAAATTAAAGAAAATATAGTTGGATATATAATACCTAAACTTGCTTTTTATATATTACTCTGTATTGCAAAACAAAAATTTTGTTCATAACAAAGACCAGAAATGCAAAATATCATGATTTCAAATTATCATGATTATCCTAAAATTTCCCAAAAGGTCCCTATTTTCTGAATATTTTCCCTGGCCCTATTCCCAAAAAGTGGTGTGAAAGGCGTGAAATGTCTTACTGGTCATACAACCTTGTCAACCTTGGCTGCTCTAAACTATAAATCCTATTTATATTTTAGTTGTTTTTACATACATTCAGATCTTGTTTTCTTGAACTTGATGGGGCCAAGAAAATCCACGGATGCACACTATTGAGGTAAAAAATTGGTTGGGACTTCTAACTCTCTTCAACATATCCATGGTATGTGAGATATCAATGTTTGAAATACTGAAGTTCACCTGTATATATTTAAATTTCCATATATTTTTCCTCAAGATTGCTAATTAGAAAACAGTTCATTTTCTCATGAACTGCCATGGATGAGCAAGAATATCTCCATTGTGACATCATATGGTACTTTGCATAAAAAAAATTAGTGCAAACTAGTTTGTTTCAAAAATAATACATGTAGTTGAATGACATAAATTGTTGGCATAACCATCAGATAAATGTTAATATATGAATTTTATTTTTGATAATTCATGGGGTACATGAACTACGAGTGCCGGCATATTTATCATACAGTGCTAACACACATCATGAAATAATGCTGGCATGAATTCTCAAAATTTAAATTTATTTCCAAATTTGTATCATTTCATTAGACTTTCCAGATTGAATACTGTTTGTTATCTTCATATTTCATTTTTAAATATTTTTTGGATATATATTTTTCACACTGGGAGCAAGCCTAATCTCAGCGTGATTCATCGAGACTAAAAATTTTGAACTGAAGTCTCTTTAGGAAGAGACGTCAATACAAAAGTTTTAGTCTTGATGAATCGATCTCGCTGAGATTAGGAGCAAGACCATTCTGTGATCCATTCTGATCTACTCAGGTCCGGCACAATCTCTTGATTTAGCTATATAGCTTGATTTAGCTATATAGCTTTATTAAGCTATTCAGAATAGCTTAATTTAGCTATTCTATCACACTTTTTTCTTAAATGTTTTATTTTCTCAGCATGCACAAAAAGTCGCACCTTGGTGCAGTGGTAATATTCAACCTTGAACTCTTCTGGAAATAATGCATGTAAAAATCACTCATCAAATTGCGTCTCCTTAATAGACTTTGTACTCGAAGTTCTAAAAGTTTTGGGGCTATATAAAGCAATTGATACAGTTACTTCTTCATTGAAATTATAAAAGAGGCCAATTATGGTCAACAAGATAATGGATTGGTAATAATTCAGTACAATGAGAAGCAATCATACATATCCATGCCTCAACGCACACAAGGTGGTGTACAGTTACTCAAACAATGGAAATTCATCTTTTGCTTAAAAGTATTCAAATGCTGCAATGTTAGAACTATCTTTGATTTAGGTTGACGTTGTTGTTTTGATAGCCCATAGTACATATATGAATAGTCTAATACTTGCGACTTTTTGTCTTTTTCTTACAAAAAACATTTTTCTGAAAAACTGCACATAAATAGCTTTATCAAGCTATTTTGAATAGCTTAATAAAGCTATATAGCTTTTTCAAGCTATATAGCTAAATCAAGAGATTGTGCTGGACCTGCTACTTGCATGAGCATGTCCCGGAAATGTGGTGGACCACACAAGAATTCGAACCTATTTCTCCTGAACTCTAGACAGGCACTGTATCAACTTTTTGTTATCGAGGTATCTGAAATCCGGTGAACGAACTTACCGAAATGCCACATTGACAATTTACCTGTACTTCGAATTTTCACTTCAAAATACGCCTTATCTTGTGCGATGGGTGCATTGGAAAGTGCTGCTCCTGTTCCACAGATTCGTCGACCGTCCTTGACAATCACTACATCATTACCTATCAATAACAATTTGATTAAATTAGATATTTATAAAAACGAAAGCTGGTTACAGTAGGTCATGATTTTACCATGTTTCTTCTATAGATCGCACCAGAACTAACAAATGGTAAGTTTTACCCATAACTGAAGTGTCAAGTTTCACCGTAGGAATTTCTTTTAAAGGTATATGTCCTGAATTAAAGCCTGGACCGTCCCAACAACATCGTAAACAGCAAAAACAAGCAGCCATTCTTACAACTTCCGGTGAATGAAACTTCATTAAGGCGTACTTAAAATTATTCATATTTTGCTGATGTTTATAACAGAGTCCTTCATACTATGCGTCACGATTAGAAGAAGTACCTCGATTACAAGATAATAATGCATTTTGTTTCAATGTCAACAAAATTTTAGAAATTTAAATTTCAACTTCACGAAATTTTTCTTGTTAAAAATAATAAAAAAAGGGCTGGGGTCTCTATGGGATGTATTCAAGCTCCTGTCAATTTTCTATGATACATTTAATATTCTTTAAGATATATTCTTATTAAAGATTATCATAAAAAATATCATCATCAAGGGCTCTGTTGTATTTTAACTTACTCTTTCTATGATATCAATGTATATATTGCTATAATTAAAGATATGTCATATTCATGATATTATAATTCAATATCTGCATTTTTTATTCTGTGTACATAATGCCAAAATCCATCTTCCTAATTCAAGTCCAACCTGATTTTTTTCTCTTTTTTGTGCATAACTTATCTAAATCAATTTTCATCTATCTGAGATATAGTAAATAAATTGATACATATATATATATACTGTATTTACCCATAATAAACATATATTCAAACCCAGCCTGCATGTTTAAAGCAGTTAATTACTGAATAATTAACGTCATATACTCTCTGCAGGTTTTTATTTAGTAAACAAAATCAAAGATATGTGCCAATTTTTGTAAAAACTAATTTTAATGAATAATTAATGTATAATTTTCACAGTATCATTAATCAGCATACAATCTGATATTGTATAAGTTAATATGCACTCTCAATGTCTCTGACATCAAATGCTTTTACACACATGCATAATACACATAATACACAGTGACTGTAAATATTGACCAGCATTCAAAGCATACTGCACATCATTGCAATTAATCATAAATACCACAGTGTATTAAATGTTATGCATGCACTAATGTGATTTTTTCAAGGCACTTTTTGGTGACAAATTTTTCAATTTAACAGCAGCACTTTACATACAGCTTTTTTTCCCCACAGGAATTTTTACTGATCTTATTTTCTTCTGAGCAAAATTCTTTCCAAAGATCATCAAGATCACTCCATGGCTGTCTATAGCAAAAATATCACAAGGCTTTCTCTGAATTTCATCTTCAGAGTTATCCCCCCTTCACTCCTCTTCCTCCTCCTCGCCTCTCGGAGTGGACTGCACCCCATACAAGATTTCTGACAGTGTATCTTTACTGTGTTTGAAGACTTGTAAACAGCTTGGTGAGCATGCTCGGAAAAGGAATGGCAGGTTTTTAATCCCATGAAGTTTACTAACTGGGCGAATAATTCGCAAACCGGGACCATAAAGGGCACCATGACAACAGTCACAAACTGAGCGGCTGTAAAGGTGTATATATAAAAATTACCTTGTGCACTGAAAATTTATACTTCTTGAATGATCGATAAAACTCTGATAATCGATTGTTAATGAAAACAGAACCGAATTGCTCATTTCTTCCATAAACTTACAAAAACTAATGAATATTTTAACAATTTTCTTTTGAAATATTTTATATGATTATTTTACTTACTTGGCCAGGACCTTTTTGACAGACTCTGGTAGAGAATCCATGTCACTGATTACCTCCCCTTCTACTAGAGTTAGAGCACACATGTCAATCAGCCTCTACAAAAGAAATCATGACATTTGATACTGTTTTGAGAATCCATGTGGATGAAACCTTATATATAAAAGTAAAGAATGATGTGGTACTCAATCATTACCTGTGGTTGATTCTGGGTGTTTTCTTTCCAGAAGAGTGGGTGCATGAAATTATTCTTGACATTAAGATAGAACAAGTCTAGGAGCAGTGCTCCACATGGCATGGCTGGAAGCTGATTTCCTTCCATATTCAGCTCCCGCAAATTTCTGTAAAAAGAGAAAAGTATACAAGTAAATATATATACATATGTAACAGACACATGTTCTGACTTTAAATACACATAGGAACACTTAAACAATCAGTAGATTTTTATAATCCTTATCTTACCTCATGTTGGCTATCTCATTCTGAATGAAGGTCAGCTTGTTGTAGGAAATATCTAAATGAATCAGTTTGGGCAAAGCGAACAACCTAAACAAAAAGGTATTAAAATTCCACTGTGAACAAATTTTGTTTATTCATTTATTTATGTTAAACAGCTCAAGCAAAGATGTTAACTCACAAAATTGAATGTATCATAAACAAAAACATGATTAATGTTAATAAGTTATCAGAGTTGCATATTAAAAGTTATATCATCTAAATTCATATATTTTTTTTTTTAACTTTATATGAATGCAGAGTCTTATTTGAGGGAAAATGACCAAAAAAGAAATAATGAGACATGAAAATGCTGAGTTGTGACTCTATCATATACAATATAAGAGTGTAGATGAGGTACCCCATAGGAATGTTGGTGAGGAGACAGAAGGAGACCACCAGAATCCTCAGGCTCCGCATACGATGGATGTCAGAAGGAAGTTCCCGGAGGGGATTGTTTCTCAGTTTCAGGATCTCAAGCTGTCGAATCTCCAAGATTTCTCGAGGAAATATCTGAATGATAAAAATAAAACATTGCATTATTAATGGATCAAAGACATGTTTAGTAAAGAATGTATGCACATGGTACTGTTTTGAAATATAAGCAATACTTGGTGAGGGTAAGAAAATGTGATAGAGGGCAAGACTTGATGAGCTCTCTTTGCGATTTCGACCCAAGCCCAAATATCACTTATATTTCTAGAAATTATCATGTATTTTGTTTATTCTGCAACACACTTTTACATTTGAGCTCCAAAATGAGCTATTTTCAACAGATTTAGGCATGTCTCTGCAGTTGAAACTATGACACCATGGTGCAAACAATGCACTAAAGATGATGTCACAATGCCTATAAATACATCAGGCTATATTTCAGTATTGAAAGAATATATAGCTTTGGCTTATTGGGTTACCTCTATTTGGTCACTGCAAGCGGTGGTTGCAGAATAAATACATATTTATATGTACATTCCGACTGACACTAAGTGGAATGGATGAAATCATGAGAAATATACCCTCCGTTTCTTCCACTTAAAATACTTCTGCATTTCTTCCCTGCCTATTCAAATCTATTCTTGCATCCCAACAAATCTTCATCATTTCTTCCCTGCCATTCCCCCATCTATTCTCATGCCCCCAGAAGTCATATCCACACTTTGCAGAAGTTGACGTGGGGTCAAACATTTGGATGTGTGTGTTTAATATTTTCTTTCAACGTATGGCCAGCCTGATTCTAGGACAATCAAAAATTAAAATGCAGATGATTTTTTACTGTCCAGAGGCAAATTTACAAACAAGAAAACTACAAAGGCTACTGTTAGAATTCCATGAGTTTTCCACCAGAGGTGGTGGCCAAGGGACATAACTTTTGCAAAGGTGGATTCAAATATAAATCTGCTTCATTTCTTTTCTAGAATTCCCCCGTATATCCTCACATTTAGTCATTTCCAATAAAACTGCTTCATTTCTTCTCTGCCATTCCCCCATCTATCCTTACACCCCCAATAAATCTGCTTCATTTCTTTCCTTCCCCCATCTATCCTCCCCCCCCCCCCCAATAAATCTGCCTCATTTCTTCCCTTTCCCCATCTATCCTTACACCCCCAATTAAACTACTTCATCATTTCTTCCCTTCCCCCATCTATCCTCATACCCCCAATAAATCTGCTTCATTTCATTCCTGCCATCCCCATCTATGCTGACACCTTCAACAAAGCTCTTGATTGCTTTTTATCACCTCCAGTAGTTCTACTATTCCATTATGTTACAAAATGTTTTGATCCCAAAATACATTATAGATTTTCTTTTCTTTGTAAAAGTACAGTTGAGCCTTGTTGATCCAGACACTTGTGTTCCCAATCAAAAGGCCCAGCTTAATGAAGTGTCCAGTTTACTAAAACCTATCTGTTATAATTGGTAGATATAAATGTAAATTCTGTTCCCCACAAATTTTGTCAGGAAGCTGAAGCATTAAGATTGACGGTGTCTTGATTATATATATAGGCTCCACTGTATATAAATACACATACTTCAGAATTCAATTAGGCCTAAATGTTGCCTATAAAAATTTTAAGCACTCAGATATTTTGTGCACTACATACCATGTGCTTGAACTGAAACATTACTTTGAAATTATATATCTACTCACCGAGAAATCATTGAAGGACAGATTCAGATAGGTGACAGTTCTTACTAGGGGTGAAATATCTGGCATTTCTGATATAAAATGTGCCTGGAATGAAAATTATTGATCCTTGTAAAAATCATAAATGGCAAACTTGAAACAGGCCTTGATTTTAGTATACCATTATGTCTGTTTTGTCCGATAGGTCTACTAAATTAATCTATACTTTGCAATTAACTCCTCTAACACTTAAGCACAGAGCAATTTCTTATGCTGTTGTTTTAAAATGAATAGCTGCCAGTTTTAAGCACTTAGAGAAGTGACAATCCAATGTAAAAACAAGATCTTAAATCCAGCTGCCTTTGCATCAGCTGATATCTTTTAAAAAAACAAATATGTGCATCATAAATCACTTAACTGCTAAGCATGATTGACGTGTTATTGCCCGTGTATTTCACACCCACCTTCAGACTGAGAGCTTTACCACCGTTTATCAGAGCATCTAAGATGGCAAGTTCTGAAGGAGATATGGCATTCTCCGAGGGTGCAGCTAAAAGCAAAATGATAAATGGAGGTTTTCATGAGAAGAAACAGATTTTAAAAAGATCTGCACAGTACTGATTAACATTTTTTGAATTTTCACAGAAATCCTGATAAGTAGGTACGTGAACAAAAACCTTAGATTTTTGTAAAAAGATCTTGATTAATGTGAGAATTAAAATCTAAAGAGATATCCTCCTAAAATCATTATAGACAATAGGAAGACAATAATATTGTTAATCAGCTAATCAATCAATACAAAGTATGTCTGAAACATAGTTATCCATTTCTAAATTTACAATCAGTTGTAATCACAATATATTTTTTTTTGTTTTGTAATGTTTAAATTCTGTTGTAAAAATATTCTAAGAGGGAAGATTTTTACCATGTGTTCTACCCAAATTAATACAAATTGAACTTATTAAAAGGTTAAAATATTGAAGAGCAAGACTATGGGTGAAAACTGTTTCACCTGCACTTGGAAGTATATGACACCTTAACTTATTTACTGATTAACTGATAAGCAATTCTGCATCCAGAGCACATCCTATATATACTGGTACATGCATTGGTCTGGTCACTTACTGAAAGGTGAATGACTACGTTCCGCCCCCTGGAAGTATCTAGATGGAGCAGAGTGAAACATTGAATCCATTGTTGGAATTTCGGTATCCCTACAAAAAGTACAAAGACTTTAACATCTGTTTTCAGTATTCTAATAAAAGACCTTTATATTTTTTTTTTTTACAAATAGTAATTAAAGTTATCAAAGAATAAACTAATGTGGGTGAGATGAAGTTGAAAGAATATTTTACAAAATAATGATGTTAATTCAAATATTATCCTTACCAAAAAGAAAGACAGAGTCCTTAATAAAGCAGTGATAGCATATGAAATTCCAGCCAGTTTACACGTACATGTATACCCTAAATTACATTGTAACTTATCCACTGATAATTTTCAAGATATTCTTGATTTACAATTATAATACCATCATAAGTTCGAAGACAAAAGTCAGCATTCATTACCAGGAGTTTTGAACAGATATCACATGATGGAAATCCTTGTGTTATTAAAAAAAAAAGTAACAATTAAAATACAGATTTAACAGATATTTCCTCAAAATTTGTTTTAGAGGAGGAGAACAGCATCATATAAAAATGATATTAAGGTATTATAATAGTTGCACAAAGGTCCTTCAATTATTGCAACTCTTAAATTAATTACACAGGGAGTAAGTAAATAAAGTTTAAAACTACATTGGTTATGTCCTTAATTAACTAGCTGAAATATGTTTTGATTCAGGGATTTTAGTACGGTTTGAATTAATAGTTTGATGTCCTTATTTTTTTAAAAAAAAATTTCACTAAAACTATTGTATGGTAAAAATCCCTAACCAAAATCATATCTCATGTTTGACTCTGGAGTGCTCACTTTCTTCAGCCACAGAGAAACAAGACCAATCAAGGTATAATACTGTTATACATACTGTCGTTCTTGAGCTGAGCGACTGGCAACATCAAAAGTGTCATCCTCGTAGAGTATGATCTCCGTGTGAGGGACATTGTCATCAGCGTATGATGGGCTGTACTTCCTCAGAGGTCTGATCACTGACTTGACTTCAGTGTTCATCAGATCTCGGACATGCTGTTTTATCATAGCTGCCATCTCAATGAGTAACTGTTTCTGAGGGATCCTTGGCTCAGATGGGGGAATGTTTTGCCCTATTATTTTAAATATTATGTTAAAACCTTAAAAACTTTATGCTGTCTGCTACTGAAGATAATTGTATGTATCAATAAGCAAAAATATGCTATAATTGTATAGCCCCTCTTACAGTAAACATAAATCTTCAATGATCCAAATTTCTTTTAATAAACTTTATAGGAGAAATAGTGATAATAAACAATAGTTCATCATTTACTTCAAAAAAATTACTCACCTTCTGGAGTCATTTCCATCACTTTAACCTCCTCTTGAATAGCAGGATTGATATATTTCTCAGCCAAAAGATTTGTTAACTTCTTATAGTTGTGTTTTGAGTAAAATATTTCCTTGACTTTACGAACTGGTATGTTCCGAAGTTCTGAGAGATGATACACAAAATTGTCCAAAGTAAAAGCTGGAGGCTGATGATAGCGAATCTCGTCAAAATTATCCATCTGTAAAATCTCCCCTGGCTTTTTGGGGAGTCTGGTAGGGAAATTGTCTGGTCCTCGTGGTTTAAAAGGTTTTACTAATGATTTACCATCAACATATGTACCTAAACTAGTTTTCTCACGATATATTGGATCAAGCACAAACTTCTTGTCATTTTTACGCAGGTAAGAACCATTACTGTGTGGTGATATTCCATAATTTCTGTAGTATGTCCCCCTAGTGGGATGTGATTCTGATGGTGGGGGAGACACTAGACTAGGCACAACACTGGGTGTGGGGGACTGAAGATGTCTTTGACTGATGTCCATCTCCTGTTCAAAGTCATATATTTCATAGAATGGTTTGTCTGGAGAAGGTGGCAGCTCGGGTTCAAGGGGAGGTAACTTGGGTGCCCTCGGTCTACGCAAGAGCTTGGGTCCTCCCCCTCCCTTGCCCTGGCCCTTAATCATCATGTTCTTTTTGTTTTTGTTTGATTCGACTAACTGAAAATAGAATTATTAACCATATACAAGATACGTGTCTACGGTACCTACGTCATATTCAACTCTGATGAAATCTTTCAATTTGTCAACTTATAATCGCTGAAGCAAAATACAGTATTCAAACACATGTCAAACTACAACAATGGTATAACCAATTACAAGTACTCTGCATTCATTAAGTCAAAATGACCAAGAAAACACGAATTTACTCCGAAATCTTATAATGATAGTTTTTACCGAAGGGCCGTTTGCCGCCATTTTGACGCTGCACTGTCTCCATACCAACAGGTGCACAGTAACTCGTTCTAAGCTTTATTCGGATATAATATTTTCGCAAAGTGAGGTCAATAAAATTTAATTTTTATAACAGAATACTTACAACTTTTTATTTCACATTGTCAGAAACATTCTATATATTAAAAAAATGCCTAAATTTAAATGAATGTTGATCTTGACGCTGAAGGTTATAATTTCAGACACGGAACGACAATCAACTGAGCGTTGTAGAAAGTTTCTATAGGACAGTAGACAGTACCCTAAAATTTTGTGTCGATCCTAGTTTTGGTTTGAAATTTAAAAAAAAAAATATTAACGAAAAAAGACGAAGAACTTAAGATCCATCTCTCAAAGCTTCTGCCATCACTTGTCTCGAATCACTCTAAGAGTAGTAATATCACTGCACTTCTATTCCATCCCAAAGCTAGACCGGAAAGAATTTCTTCTCAGTCTTGGCATCTCAAGATTTTAACATGGCTTTGGTTTGTGTCTAATGAAGTCAAATATCTGGATTTTAAATTAATGTTAACAAGTGAAAGTGCAAGCTTTTTTTTTAAGATGCTTTCCAATTTTTATGAATTTCACTCAGTCTGAGGTGGGCTGGGATGGGGGGGGGGGAGTCCTTTCCCATCTTGTAACGGTTGATCCCTGCAGCTTTACCTCTCTAGAGAGGAGTGTGAATACTGGAGGAAGAGGCTGTAGTGGTGAAAGTAGTCGGGGAAGCTGGTGGAACTTGGAAAATACACGGGATTTGAAGTTGGGATAGAATGATATTTGGAAGATGGAACCATAAAATATGGAGATAACGAACAATATTGGAGCTCATAGTCCATTTAAACAATACAAATCGGGAGCAGAGCAAACACGCACCTCCAAAAACATTAGAGGCGGGATCAGATGCCATCTAGACTTCAATTCTGAAAAAATCAGTCTGTAGCCTATTGTTCTTCCAAGCCCAACTGATGACAGAGGATTGATAGACAGTGTCTTTGTAGTAAATCAGCAGACTAAAAGCATGTGTCTGCATGCTCAGAAACTTTGAAAGATAGAAGATACACTGGTGGCATGATAGAGTTATCAGCATAATTGGCATCTTGGAAAGAAAGGTAAAAAAGTCAACGATGTATCATGTTGTAAATTGTGAATTTACTAGGGGGAGGTAAATGCAAAATTTACATCTTATCATGTTGTAAATTTTGCATTTACCTCCCCTAGTAAATTCACAATTTACAACATGATAGATGAGTAGAGAAGGCCTGAATTACGTCAACTTTGTGAAAGAAGCCTAGAGATGACATAAAACTAGTACTGAAGGAAGTGAGCTTTTGGGAACAGCAACAGATTGGCAGATGCGGCTGACTTGAGAAAAGAGGCCTGGTACGGTTATCTGGCCAGTGGCAGCAAAACAGTCAATTCTTTTGTAACAGTGTCAAAGGAAGATAGGAGCGAGGATGCATTTGAGTGGAAAATCTTTAGTTCCATGATCTGACGAAGAACTGTCAACTGAATGGATAGGAAGTATGTGAGATAGCCATTGGTATATAACATTAGCAAAAAAGAGACTGATATAGGAAGTCTGTGAAGGGTAGCAGAGAGAGCATCCATAGTGCTGAGGAGGAAGTCAGTCAAGCGGAAAGTTCGTAACTGAGATAGCAGCATTGATGGAGAACCAGTGGTTCCAGGCTTGGACGTTCACCCCCCAGGAAACGCCCATCTGGGGTAGCACCAAACAGTCGATGAAGGAGAATCATGACACCCCATTTCCAACTACATGTATTTACTTCTGCCCAAGACATTGATTAGATAAATTACATGTATACCCAAAATATGGAACACAAATAGCAACAGGCATTATATCGTCCAAAGTAATACGATGCATTCCAAAACATTATGTATGTGAATTTCCAAAGAAACGATTACTGCAATACAAAAGAACTGAAGTACAGTATTTTATTTCTTACGGAAGCGTATCAGTGCCACTTGGACATTTACACACTTTAATGTGTAAAATTTACACTTTTATTTGTAAATTTTACGCTTAAATGTGTAAAATTTACACTTTAATCTGTAAATTTTACAGATTAAAGTGTAAAATTCACACATTAAAGTGTAAAATTTACAGATTAAAGTGTAAATTTTACACTTTAAAGTGTAAATTTTACATATTAAAGTGTAGAAATTAAGAAATAAAAAGTGTCAAAATGGCACTAATACGCTTCCGTAATTTCTGGACTGAACGATTTGAGTTCTTTTACTTATTTATTCAAGAAGACACCACGTCGGCGTCCCAGGTTAAAGTTTTTGGAGCAGATTTCTTTTCAAGTACTTCTATGCCCTATATTAATCAGAGGTACATGGGGGATGCTTTTAGTGTGTTTCATTGTACCAGTTTAGGTTTCAATTTCAGCTAAAGAATGACCAGGTTAATGTTTTTGGAGCAGGTTAAAGTTTTTAGAGCAGGCTAAAGTTTTTGGAGCAGGTCTCATTTCCAAGTAACTATAAGCCCTATGTTGACCAAACTTGCATGGATGATACGTCTAAGGATTTATACTACTGAAATTGTTTCGGATGCTGGATCTGACCTACATTTTCCGGATGAGTAACCAGGTTAAAGTTTTTGGAGCAGATCTCATTTCCAAGTAACTATAAGCCCTATGTTGACCAAACTTGCGTGGATGATACACCTAAGGATGCACACTACCAGGCTTGCTTCGGATGCTGGATCTGACCTACATTTTCAGGATGAGTAACCAGGTTAAAGTTTTTGGAGCAGATCTCATTTCCAAGTAACTATAAGCCCTATGTTGACCAAACTTGCGTGGATGATACACCTAAGGATGCACACTACCAGGCTTGCTTCGGATGCTGGATCTGACCTACATTTTCAGGATGAGTAACCAGGGTAAAGTTTTTGGAGCAGATCTCATTTCCAAGTAACTATAAGTCCTATATTCTCCAAACTTGCACGGATGATACATCTACGGATGCATACTACTGGACTTGCCTCGGATGCTGGATCTGACCTACATTTTCAGGATGAGTAACCAGGGTAAAGTTTTTGGAGCAGATCTCATTTCCAAGTAACTATAAGTCCTATATTCTCCAAACTTGCACGGATGATACATCTACGGATGCATACTACTGGACTTGCCTCGGATGCTGGATCTGACCTACATTTTCAGGATGAGTAACCAGGGTAAAGTTTTTGGAGCAGATCTCATTTCCAAGTAACTATAAGTCCTATATTCTCCAAACTTGCACGGATGATACATCTACGGATGCATACTACTGGACTTGCCTCGGATGCTGGATCTGACCTACATTTTCAGGATGAGTGACCAGATTAAAGTTTTTGGAGCAGATCTTATTTCCAAGTAAATGTAAGTCCTACGTTGACCAAACATGCATGGATGATACATCTAAGGATGCACACTACTGAAATTGTTTCAGATGCTGGATCTGACCTACATTTTCAGGATGAGTGACCTTGTGAAAGTTTTTGGAGCAGGTCCATTGCCAAGAAACTATAAGGCCTATCTAAACCAAACTTGCATGGATAATGCATCAAGGGACGGGCACTCTCAAACTTGCTTTGGATGCTGGATTTGACTTACATTTTCTGGATGAGTGACTAGTTTAAAGTTTTTAGATAAGTCCATTCCCAAGTAACTGCAAGCCCTATCAGACCAAAATTGCATAAAATGTTGCATCTAGGGATGCACACTACTAGATTATTAGATTAGTGTGGGACTTTGCCTTATTTAAAGATAACATTCGTTGAGGTGAGCTCTGTCATCTCTGATTACCTATGTTTTTAACTGCAATTAGCAAACTTTGAATACTGAGATAAAATTTCCTCTTTGTATATATATTATTTTTTTTCTGGGGGGGGGGGGGGATGGGTGGAAGACACATACAAGTTCAAGAAAATTTGCTATGATTGAGTTGGCGAGTATTTTCAATGCAGCTTTAAAATCGTGACGGAGTAGATAATTGCTGTTTTTAAACATTGGAACTGTAAAGGATGACTGCACATAACGTCGGAATTTGGGTCTTTTTCGGTCGCTTCTGTCGCTTTTATAACTTAACCTAATTACACTTTTGTTCATTTATTAAAGAATCTTGTAAATTTCGAACCAACTTTAAATGTTAAGATGATTTTAGACTGTGATGCGATAAAATAAATCTATTTTTTTGTCCTTACCGCTTTCCAAATATAGAGAACTTACACTTACCTGCCCTTGATTGAACATTAGGTTGATAAAAATATGCGCAAGAGGTGGAACTCACATTTTTTGTTTTTTTTTTTTTTTTGCTTGTTTAACGTCCCTTCGAGAATTTTTCACTCATATAGAGACGCTACAACTTGCCGGTGGAGGGCTGCAATTTTAGACATGTTCTCGGCCTTTACGACCTTTGAGCAGCGAGGGATCTTTTTCGTGCCAGCACCTACTGTGACAAGGGACCTCGGTTTATAGGACCGGCCTCCATGTCACACAGTGGGTTCGAAACCGCGATGTAAGGATCAACTCCCTACTCCGCGACTATTAATCTATGTCTATTAATCTCCAATTGACAGAACTTTATTAATGCAAATATACAACTACTGTTAACCGGAGAACAACAGACAAACATGCACTGACTATGTATAAAGTCAGTAAAAAAAAGTGGGCGTCATATCATTATCGCATGGAGATTCAAGATGGCACCCACCTATGAAAACAGATTCGTACTTCGTAAATACATACTTTTATTTAAGGAAGCTCTAAACACTAAAGAAAAATGTTACTTGGACTTCGAGAACATTGTATTATATAAAGATGTACATATTGGATTTGTCTAGTTCATTTTCAACAAAGGATACCTGCCATATTTCTCCAGGAAAAATTGAATTCTTGCAGAACAGAAATCACTGTCATTTACTTATATTTGGAAAATACATCCAAATAATGTTTTCAGTTACTCTATTTTGGTGTTATATAATGTTAAGAATACTTTATTCACTTTCAAACTGTGTCATTTATTGAAGATTTAAATTTCATTTATTTTACTGAACATCGAATTAAGTTCAGATCACTCTAACTGCATAAAAATACCATTGAATTAGAACTCTTCAGTGAGCAGTGTTTAGAGCTACCTTAATCTAATTACGTAAAGTTGCAGATTGAACGTTGACCATTCCTGCAATTCAAAAATTCAAAAGAAAAAAGCTCTTTTTGACAGTTATTTTGGTTTATTTTGAAAATTTCGCATGTCCTTAATTAAGTGTAGTCATCCTACGTATTCGATTCAAAGTAAAATGGGACATAACGAGGACCTGTTTAGAGACCGATTATTGTAACTGTGGTAAAGTGAAAATTGCTTGATAAATTAGCTAAAATTACTGGAATTTTAAATAACTAATAAAACTTAAGCTGAAAGGTGTCCTCCAACCTTCTTCCTCCCAACAACTGGACCCCACCCCGAGTGAAAAAAAAATTGTGTCATTTCAGACAAGTTTTTGGCCCTAATAGGATTCCGTATACAAACATTTACTAAGGTACATAAGTTTATCTGACTGACAGGTCACAGAGATGAAAAGAGGTTTAACCAAATTAGCGTATCTCGGTCGTTCCCTGTCCACCAGCGCAAGACGCGGAGGGAAGTTTAATGAACCTCTTTCAGGGAATGAAATGCCCCGATCCGGGGGGATAGCATCTATGATGCGTCTCCCCATTCAGAATGACTCACAAGGTAAGAAGAGGGTACACTGCATTTTGGTAGGTCAATACAGATACGGTCATTCATTATCGCCATCTCAAACGCGCACCTACAGTGGAAGAGAATAAGAAGCACTTTAACTTTAAAACTTGCTTGATAGGAAATTCTGAAGATTGAAATTTTATATTTTCTTCTTATGCTTTAAACTTTCTATCTAAAATATGAATCAGTCAGCTTTACAATACTAATACACTTGCTTCTTTAATTTAGTAATTTTTTCATCATCATTTTTTTGTAGCTATGCAAACTGTGAACATATCTTTTTTTATCTTATAGATATCATTTTTTTGTTTTATTTAGTTAACGCAAAAATGAGATAGTGGGTAGTTTTTCTTTAATATTTCAGATAGAAGTAATAGACTGATTACAAAAGATAGTTATATATTAAAGTAGTCCGATCCCCAGTATCTGAAAATCAGGAGTTGAGTGACATTAAAAATGCTCACAAAAATGTCTTTGAAATCTCAAAGTAATATATATTTACCACTGGTATTTCTTCAAAGTTCATTATTATAGTTAATCATATCATGTAGGGAAAATTATCAGATCTCAAATATATTTTCAGGGAACGCGAATAAAAGCACCCACTATACATTTTCTGATTGAAAATTGATCAACAAATATATTTTAGGATAAAAAAAACTGTAGGTATCCAGGTATTTGCCTGGGAGAAAACTGCTTTTTACAAGACCGTTTCGAAGACTTCAAAAAACCTTGAATCATATTAGGATGCATAAAATGAAAATTGTTGCACGATAAGATTTTAATTTCAAGCTTTATTTTGAGATTTTTTAAAATTAAATAATAATTTTAACATATTTAAGAGTTATCGTTCCTGGCCGGGGAGCGGATATCCTCAAGCAAGACAAGAAGTGAACATCGAAGAAAGACTGTTATATTTGATATGAATTTAAATTTTAAAATTAACAACAGACTAAAATTTCTTTGCTCTTTGACAAGGTCTGGGGGCCTGTTTTGTGGGGATACCTATGGATATCGGGACGTCAAACAGGTCTGGGACAAGATTAGGTCCACGACAAATCCGGAGCGAGTCTGCACTCATCCGAAAGGTCAACATCGCCACAGGTAAGTGCACACGTACTTTTTATGTCTCTTGGTTTATTTACATATTGAGTCCTTAGCTGCAGAATTATAGCTCTCTTGGAATAAAAATTCGATCAGACAAACGACACTCTGATATATATAGTATCAGGGGGTGGGGGCACTTTTTTTCAAAGATAAAAATCTTTTACTGTTGAAAATGTTGCCCCCCCCCTCCACGTTTGGTAGTCAAGCCATCCCTTGGTAGAGAATTAATACAAACTGTTAAAATTGTTTGTGAAAAAAGTTGGACCCCCCCCCCCCCCCCGGAATAGGAATCTTGAGTTGGGGAAATTTATTCCTTTTTTTTTTACTTGTCAAAGATTTTCAGGTAAGTTGTTAAATAATTTTTCTCTTTCTCTCTCTCTCTCTCTCTCCCCCCCCCCCCCCGGTTCAAAAAAGATACTACGTGTCTGGTTTTGCCTTAAAACGGGAAGGGGTACTTAATGAAATTACATTTTATGAAAGTTATTACTTTCTCAATAGGAGCCTCGCCTTTCGACTCCTTCCAGGTGGCTGATGTCGGTGACGTGAACTTTAATCTTTACCACCTCCCCAAGGCCTGCGAGGACATCCGTAATCATTACCGAAAGTTGATCAGCACTGGCTGTATTCCTCTGACAATGGGAGGAGACCATACCATTAGTTATCCAATACTCCAGGCCCTGAAGGTTAGAGAGAGGGGTTTATTTAAAAAAAAAGATGTATGTCGATATCCTTGTAAATTGTTAAAAATTTTCTGATATTTAAGCATTTTTCTAAACTTTTTTTTAGGCATTTAAAAAATATTAAATTAATATGGTTCTGTGAATAATTATTTTGTTATTCTGAAGTAATAGTATCAAATTATTGAAGAGCTTACCCCCTCCCCCTTTTCAACTCCACACAAGGTTCCGAAGTATCAAAGTACTGAAAGGACTGTTAAGAATTAAAGTCTTTTCGAAGTCTATACATTTATTTTCAGCAACTAACAAATTTAAAATAACATCCTATTTAATTTCCCGCAAAATTTCCTGCTGAAAGATATAAATGGTAGCTTAAGCCGGTGTGAAAAGTTTTTTAATTGATGAATGACTTATAACAAACAGAAATTCAGAGTAAATCAGGTGAATGGGTGAATGTGTATATGTATATGTACTTGGGTCGCCATCTGTGTATGAAATCGGTTGAATTAAATTTCAAATCCACGCTATGAAAGAATGTCTATGCATTACAGGAGAAATACGGACCTGTTGGTATGGTACATGTAGACGCCCACTCAGACACCAGCGATACGATGCTGGGTGAAAAGATTGCTCACGGGACACCCTTCCGACGGGCAGTGGAGGACGGATGTCTAGACCCTCACAGAGTGATTCAAATTGGTTTACGAGGATCAAACTATTCAGTGGAAGACTACGACTGGGCCAAGAGTCAGGTAAAGATCGCAAGAATGGGAATGGGGAAGACATGGGAGGCGGGACGACGGAAAAGAAATTCTGAAGGATCAAAACTGGACGCTTGATGATTGGTGAAAAATGTATTTTGCACATCACTTTGAGGACTTAATACTATTAAATAAACTGTGCGATGAATTTTATGAACTCAAAATTTTAAAAGCTTAAATCCATTTGATCAGAATCACTCACGACTGTTTGCAAAATTATCATAAAACCTCTAATATCTTGAAAAAGTAATTCTGCTTGGTCAGTTGCAGTTTACTATCATATATTTAGGGATTTCGGATAGTGACAGCCCAGGATTGTTGGCACAAGTCCCTGGCCCCCCTTATGAAGGAGGTTCACGAGATGATGGGGAATAAACCAGTTTACATTTCATTTGACATTGACGGACTCGACCCTGCGTTTGCTCCTGGAACAGGTTATTTATCTTATCTCACATCTCGGACTCATAAGTTAAAGCTCGCAGTATCATTCCTGCAAACACCGAATACTTGTTTAGATTGGAATTTTGATACACAGATAATTGTACTAGTAAGTGAAAATTGGAATACAATTTCACATCATAATGATCAGGTATTTTGGTATGGATCATTAATTGTCAGGTACCCCTGAGATTGGAGGACTGACATCTATACAGGGGCTGGAAATTGTCCGGGGCTGCAGGGGATTGAATGTAATCGGGGGAGATCTCGTAGAGGTAAGTCAGGAACAGATAAAATGAAATTGTTTCCGAGCTACAAAGGCGTGAATCTGATCCAGGTAAATAAAAACATCAATGCAAATTGAAATCAAGCTTTGCACTTAATACAACAATAAACAGAAAAGTCCTGATTTCTGAGATGAGAGTGGGTGTTGTACAAATCCTAAATCTGCGCAGAAAGAAAATATATTATTAAAAAAAAATAAAGCCAAAAATTTCAATCAAGTCGATCAGAACCCAGAAGCGAAGTTATTTTTACGAAAACTGTGCATTCAATGTACCTTTAATTGTGGAAGGACTCCGTTGCAACGATCCAGTTCACATTACGTTGTATTTTATATTTCAGTTCTTACGATAATAAAATTTCAAAAAAATCTTTGTATACCAACATACTCGTGTAATACATGATATCTCAATTTACATTTCGAAATTCATGAGAATGTTTACTAGAAAGTCATTTTTGGACATTTATTAATGGCATTTTTTATCATGACGTCATGGCTGTGGTATATTATGATATCAATCATTTGTTATTGTTTCTGTTGCGCAGGTGTCCCCTCCCTACGATATGAACGGCACCACGGCGTTGACGGGGGCTAACCTTCTGTTTGAGATGTTGTGTGTTCTCCCAGGTGTCAAGTACCACATATAATGATAAATTCAAAGCGACAGCAGTTCCATACCTTCCTTAAAACTGTCTCATAAATAAGAACAGTGAAGACTTACTACCGTGTAACGGACTACTTTACTTAGTAACCAGAACCTTTATATCATGTTTTGAAAGGATAAAGTAAATAACAACAAATGCTTAGTAATTCTTACTGGAGATTTCTTCAACCTCATGGAGACATTTAAGTAATTTGTAGATGAAATAAAATTATATGAGCATGTGTAACATCAGGTCATTTAACAATATAAGTTTAGTGCGGTTTTTGTTCTCTCTAGACTTTTGTACACCTCCGGATCACTTCTACATTTTACGTAGCTAGAAATCTCCACTTCTGCTGCTTCTCGACCATTGGCTCTTACATTCACTGTAATTTCTAGGTCACATTTAAGCCGATGGTCGGGCGTCCAATTTTTTCCCGTATTGTCGGCTGAAAAAAAACATGATCGGCCGACACTAGTATCGGGCGACGCGGAGTAGTCACATTAATTTTTAAGAACACCGACGCCTTTAAAAGAAAAAAAAATTGTAAGTCGGTTAACCGTCGCCCGATCACCGTTCGCTGGGGCGCAGTTTGTTTTTCGCCGTCGTCCAACGTTTACGAAAACCCAATTTCTAAATGTCGACAGACTGACGACCGACTTTAAACTGTCGGACAATGATTGAAGGTTGATCGACGGACTGTTTAAACGATTGCTTCAATTGAAGGAATCGGCTTCCGACGCAGAAAAAATTATAACTTGGCCCGACTGACACAAAATTGGTCGGCCGACGAAAAAAGAGGTCAAAATCGGGCAAGACAACGATGAAGGTTTGGTTAAAAGCATGTACAATTGGCAGACGAGAGAAGAGAGTTATTTTATTTTCGAAGCCAGATCTCAATCGACACGGGTAGGAAAAGTGTAGATTTTGATTAAAAATCAAGTGTGAATTGAGGTACCCCCTAGAATCCAAGATGGCAAGTCTCCAATCTTGACTTTTTTATGTACATAGATATACGAATTAAAAAAGTTGCTTATTTCGGCAGTTATAGATTTTTATTTTAATCAGTGTATGTAGACAGACACAGAAAAACAAACAAGAAAGGTAAAAAAAAATCAAGATTTTTATAATCCAGGCCAATATTCTTGATTATATGGTATGGAAAGTCTGTATATTTCATGGCCATCCCAAGATGCGATCTATTATGAAACGATAAGGGTTCTCTTTGGCTTCTACACAAAGCATCTTATAACCAAAATGCAATACTTGATATTCTTTCATTTAATTTGCTCTCTTTTTACACCTTAATTCAGTTTAAACCATGGTTTTGTTCAACAAATAGTGCAATATAGGCATGCAGTTTCTCACGCCATGTTATATTATAAAAATCCACCCAGAATTCATCTTCTCAAGTCAATCGTTTTTGATCTACTTCGCTCAAAATAATGTGAAACGAGTGGATCAGAAACTTGGGAACATGGCCAAAATTATGATACAAAAGACCTTTACATGGATGAATTGCATTGAAACAACTCCACTTTTGTAATCACTTGTAATCAAACATCGCATCCAATATGTATTATAGCTTTTCATCAAACTTCATAACTTAAAAAAAAAAATAAAATAAATATTCTTTTTACTGTTTTCTGATATTTTGAATAAGGGTAGATATTTACTAAGTACAGTAAGTAGATCTAGAATTGTTAATTTAATTTGAAAAAAAATCTCCGAATATCATCCAGCGAGATACAGATTTGCAAATGAAAATGGGTAAAGATAATGAACAGTGATCGATCTCGTAAAAACTTCAAACAATACAAATCTGTGAACAGGGCATAAAAACGGACCCCTGGAAATTCCAGAGGTGGGGTCAAGTGTGTCTGAGACTAATCGTCATGAACTGATTCTGAGTTGAAAATTCTAAAACATGGCAAAGGCAGTTAAGGAATTAAAGATATTAAAAAATAAAACATAAACCATGTGTTCAAATGTAAAACATTCATCCGCTTTTCATTTTATACCCCCGTAATCGAATATTCGGGGGTATATAGTTTTTGCCCTATCCGTCCGTCTGTCTGTTTGTCCACAAAAACTTTAACCTTGCCCATAACTTTAATTGGTTGAAGCTATGGCTTTCATATTTCATATGTGTGTTCCTTTTGACAAGACCTTCCTTTTGGAACCAACATATTTGACATCTTGACCTTGGATTTTGACCCGTTTTGGCAAAAATTTACCCAACTTTAACCTTGACCATAACTTTTGAAAAGTTGGTGCTAGGGCTTTGTGGCAACGCACTTTGAAAAAATTACGCACTTTGAAAAAAATTTTCAAAGTGCGTTAAAATTGGGACAAAATCAACGCACTTTGAAAAAATTTTTGTAAGTGCGTTAAAATTTGGACAAAATCAACGCACTTTGAAATTTTTTTTCAAAGTGCGTTAAATTTGGGACAAAATAAACGCACTTTGAAAAAAATTTTCAAAGTGCGTTAAGAGTGTACATCAACATTTTTAACCATGGAGACACGTAACGCACTTTGAAAAAAAAAATATGTGTAAAACAAAAACTTTGGACTGAGATTTTAGTAATAGACTGCATTATTTTGTTACATTTCTTTAGAAAAAACTGACGAATTGATCTACCCTCGAGGACAAGACAGGTAGAAGGTCCCTCAGCAAAACTCTTTATCTTTCCTATCCATATATGTGTACAAAATGTATATACATAACTGGTATGACATTGATATACTTTCTCTCAAGAAAAAGAATATACATAAAATAGATGAAAAATCTGAGAGAAACTTTCCTGAAAAAAAAAGCACCCTGTTATATTAAAGAAGAGAAACCCAGGGACCATATCGCTGATCTAAGCAACAATAGGCAATTAACTATATTTTACAATATTTTACTTTACAATATCAAATACAATACAAAACAAAATTGTATAAAATGCATAAATAATTAATTTTTCATTCATGAGGTCAGAAACATGTGGGGATATCAATGTTATTTTAGTTCCTATACTTCGAACTCAAGAGGGGTGGCAATACTTTTCAATAATAATTTTGATTTTAAAATATGCCTGGAAAAGGGTGATAAAGATGGAAACTATCACATTCTAAAAATATGTATAGAGGGTCATGAGGTTGTTTTATGCACAGTATATGGCCCAAATACTGATACACCAAATTTTTATGAAAATATTCAACAATCCATTGAAGAAATAAACTGTAACAGTATCATATGGTGTGGAGATTTTAATTTAGTGTTAAATCCACAGTTGGACTACTATTATTATAAATCAATTAATAACCCAAAGGCTAGAGAAAAAGTATTAGAAATAATGGAAGGATATAGTTATGTAGATCCCTTTAGACAACTCCATGAAACACTTCGAAGGTACACATGGAGAAAAAAAAATCCTTTTAAACAAAGTAGGCTAGACTTCTTTATAATGTCTGAGTCATTGTTACCTTGTCTTAATGCATGTACAGTCGAACCAAGTTACAGGTCCGATCATTCTATGATATCAATGACTTTAACTTTCAATGATTTTAAAAAGGGAAGGGGCTTATGGAAATTTAACAATTCTTTACTTGGTGATAAGCAATACCTAGATTGTATCAGAGATGATATTTTAAATGTGAAAAAGCAATATGCACTTCCTGTGTATGACCTTGATAATCTTGATACTATTCTAGATGAAAATCTATATTTTACCATTGATGATCAGTTATTTCTAGAAACTCTACTTATGGAAATGAGAGGGAAAAGTATTTCATACTCTGCATATATAAAAAATAAACAAGTCAATGAAGAAAAAGAATTATTAGAAGAAATTAAGGTATTAGAAGAAAATATTTCTGAGCACAATGTAGAGGAACTAAATGGAAAAAAGCAAAAATTGGAAAAACTTAGAAAATACAAACTTCAAGGAATATATATAAGAAGTAGAGCAAAATGGGTGGAAGAAGGGGAAAAACCATCTCATTATTTTTGTGGTTTAGAATCAAGAAATTTTACTAGTAAAATAATTCCCAAACTTGTTAAAGACAATGGGCAGTTAACTCAAGACTAGTTTGAAATTTTGGATGAAACAAAGCAATTTTATGAAAAACTTATACTCTACAGCTAACAATGAGTTAAATGAATATGATCTAAATTCTGAGCTAAATTTCAAAGATATTCCCAAGTTATCTTTAGATGAACGTGTGTCTTTAGAAGGTAAAATTACATTACAGGAAGCTTCTAAAACACTTAGCAAAATGAAGGCAAATAAATCACCTGGTTCTGACGGGCTCTCAACAGAATTTTTTAAGGTCTTTTGGCGATATCTTGGAATTTTTGTTATCAGAATTATGCTTATGAAAATGATAGTCTGTCAATCACACAGAGACATGGAATTAGTACCCTTTTACCTAAAGGAGAAAAACCAAGACAATACATTAAAAACTGGCGCCCAATTACACTTTTAAATACTGTATATAAAATAGCCTCTGGTACCATTGCAAATAGATTAAAGACTTATTTGGATAAACTTATCAATCCTGATCAAACTGGTTTTATTTCTAACAGGTATATAGGGGAAAACACTCGGCTAATTTATGATATAATGCAGTATATTGAAGAGGAAGAAATTCCTGGTCTTCTACCACTTATTGATTTTGAAAAAGCCTTTGATACTGTTTCATGGAATTTTATACAAAAGACATTAACCTATTTTAAATTTGGACCTGACATTCACAAATGGGTAAAATTATTTTATCATAACATTACTTCAGCTATTAATCAAGGTGGCAATCTCTCAGCATCCTTCAATATCCATAGAGGCTGTAGACAAGGCGATCCCTTATCACCGTATATTTTTCTACTTTGTGCAGAAATTCTAGCTACACAAATAAGAGAAAATAAAAGAATTAAAGGAATTACTGTATGTAATAATGAAAAGAAAATTTCACAACTAGCTGATGATACCTCAATTATCCTTGATGGTAGCAAGGAATCACTTTCAGAAACAATTAAAGTATGACAACATTTCTCTGAAATGTCTGGACTAAGAGTTAATTTTTCGAAAACTAATACCATATGGATTGGATCAAAAAAATATAGTCAAGATATCCTTTCTAGAGATTTTAATCTGAAGTGGAATCTGTTTGTGATATTTATCCTCAAGTGAAAATTAATTTTTTAAAATATATGAGTGTTATAAGTGCTCTTAAGGCATGGATGAAAAAAGTTAATTTTAAAGAAAATGTTACTAAATCACAAAACCCTCTGGTTATGTCAAATATACACATCCTTCTAGAATGCAAAAAATCAAGGCAATTTTATAATCTTCTCAATTACAATAGTACAGAACCTACTGGTAAAAGAAAGTGGAATGAAACATTTGAATTGAATGACAAAGAATGGAAAATGATTTTTAAATTGCCTTTTAAAGTTACAAATAATTGCAAACTGCAATGGTTTCAGTATCGAATTTTGAACAGAATTTTAGCTTCAAACTCATATTTATTTAAAATAAAAATCACAGAAAATAAGAATTGTACATTCTGTCAGGTGGAAGAAGAGACAATTGAACATTTGCTTTGGGAGTGTGATAGTGTACAACATTTTTTAAGAGAATTTGAAGATTACTTTGAAAATAAAACTAATCGTCAAATACCAATAACAAAAAATAATTTTATTTTGGGGTTCTTGGATGAAAAGAAAAAGATACCAAATAATCTTTTTCTATGGCTTAAATATTATATCTACACAATGAGGTGCACAGGGAAGACACTTAATGTAACTGCTGCAATATCGCTTATGAATACATTTTATGAAACACAAAAATATATTGCTTATAATAAAGGTGAAAAGGATATGTTTGACACCTGCTGGAACTGTTGGAATCAATTATTTCAATGACTCTGACAAATTTATATGTGTTTATATTTTATGAATGCATGTTTGCAACCCTTTTTCTCTCCTCCTCCAACTCTTTCTCTCCTCTCTCTCTCTCTCTGAAATAAAAAAATACACATTCTGTATATTCTTTTAAATATATGTTTAACTTGTATGAAATAGCAGAATGTGTAAAACAAAAATAAAGAATTATAAAAAAAAAAAAAATTTTCATACCTCTTGATGCTAATCATATAACCGTTAAAAAAAGAGCCATTCTTTTTCATGCTTATCAAATAACTATGAAAATACCATCATATTATACAGGAAAATTATTTTTAATGAGCTTACAAACTTTTCTCGTATTATATTATGTAGCCCTAAAGGTCAAATTTGAAGAAAAAAAAAAGAACTAGAAAATTCTAAATTCAGTAAAAAGTGTAAGGAAGTCCTTAGTGCATATTGAATTTTAGTTCTTAGTGCTTTTAAAATTGAAAGTCCATTAATGTTCATTGCCATCATACCTCGATTAGGTATCGGAACCGAGGGGGTTGGGGGTGGGGGCTTAGCCCCTCAAAGCTTTTTTTGCAAAGATAGACATAATATATGCATTTGCTAGAGCATTGACCAATCCGTGCACTTTTTTTTTCAAAGTGTGTCAATATGGTCGATATTAACGCACTTTGAAAAGAAATATTTTTTTCAAAGTGCGTTAACTTTGTCCCAAATTTAACGCACTTTGAAAAATGTTTTCAAAGTACGTAATTTTTCAAAGTGCGTTGTAACAGGGCTTTCAAATTTCATTTTGACAAGACCTTTCCATGGGTGTAAATATTTTTTACCTTGAACTTAGAGTTTGACGCATTTAAAAAAAAAATTAGCCTTGGCCATAACTTTCGAACAATTGGTGCTAGGTATTTTATATTTTGCATGTGTATTTCTTATAACAAGGGTTTCCCCTGTGTACCATTAATTTTGGCCTTGGAGTTTGACCTACTTTTGAAAACTTTAACCTTCGCCAAAACTTTTGAACAGTTGGTGCTAGGGCTTTTATATTTTGCATGTGTATTTCTTATGACAAGAACTTCCCCTGGGTACCATTAGTTTTTACCTTTTGACCTTGACCTTGGAGTTTGACCTACTTTTGAAAACTTTAACCTTCGGCATAACTTTTGAACAGTTTATGCTAGGGCTTTTATATTTTGCATGTGTATTTCTTATTATGAAGTCTTCCCCTGCATTACATTAGTTTTGACCTTTGACCTTGGAGTTTGACCCACTTTTAGAACCCTTCAACCTTAACTATAACTTTTGAATGGTTGGTGCTTGGGCTTTCATATTTACCAGGTATATCCATTGACACAAGTCCTTTCTTTAGGTAACAACAGTTTTCATCTCTTGACCTTGGAGTTTGACTTGCATTTGAGAAACTTTAACCTTCGCCATAAGCTGCCATACGGGGGCATCAGTGTTTCACAAACATATCTTGTTATTCAAGTAAGCATGATTTATTCTGATTTTTGGAAATCCCTTCAAACCCACTAATCTACACATCTCTGTTTGCAAGTAAATAATCATAAATTGCCAACGTAATCTAGCTAAGCGCCAACACATATCATCCCTGGGAATTGATAAAAACTCGACATTGTATAATTCTTCCGTTTATTCAGAAGTTTTAAACAAATAATAGAGTCTGTTATTATTTGTCAGGAGGTTTGGTGCTAACTGCACATTAACGCTGTGGACACGGCAAGGTAGGTACAGTCTAAATGATAGAAGTAGCAAACTAGATTTTATATACTTAATTTAAATGTAAATTAGACTTGGTTGATAAAAGTAACACAATTTTAAATTTCCGGTCATAAAAAGATAACGACACGGAACTCAAAGGTGCAATTTAACTTCATTCGGTAGTCAATTGTGCTGGTGAAAATCTTTGACCTACTTTTCGAATTTTAATTACATTTACAAATCCTGTCCCTTAGCGGGATTTTTTTGACAGGTGGAATTGAAAAAGGTGTTTGATTTCCATGTAGTGGTTTCTTTTATTTGCATTTTTGTGAAATTATTTATCCTTTTATCTGTGAACTAATTCAGGACGGATGATTTTAATCACGCATCATTTTTTTAATGTTAAAAATTACCTGAAGTACAAATGTACTGTATATATAAAGGGACAAAAGATTTTATATCGACCTACTTAAAAAACACTGCCCTAGAGGATATACATCATGGAAGAATGTGCGGAATTTCTATAATTGGTAAGTAGAGCGGATACACACTTAGCTTTGTATAATTTCAAAGGAATTGATCATTGTTTTCTAATTTCTACAGAAAAAGTAAGGAAGAAAACTTGAGAGCATCCTGGAGCTTGGTTGGAGGTCAGTGACCTATAGATGGTTCTGGTTAGTCTTATTTAGTTATCATTATACGTTGTATAGGGTGAGGATAGCGGCAGGTGGAGCTGGTAGAAATCTTTCTCTTTCTCTCTCTCTCTCTGTATAAGTTCATCCTGTTCATAAATGACGGGGGCGATATCAAATTCACTTGGTTGAATGCAACTTCGTTACGCATCATTTAATGGAATATTGGCATCATGCACAGTTCTCTTGAAATAAAGGATTCATAAAAAAATGGTTCAGAATCAATTCAGGTGCCATTAGCGGTATATTATATCTTTAAAAGTATTGTTAACTACTTATTATTATATTTTATTACATACTTCGTAATTAATACAGGTTTTTGTTTGCATATGCGATATGCCTGACGTCACTACAGTCGTATCAGCTTCCAGGGCTGATGCAAATCCTACAGGGCTGATACAGATACTGCAGGGCTGATACGGATTTATATCGCACCCCTTGGAGATTAAAATACTTTTAAAAACAGTACTTATGATAATACACTTTTTTTGGTTCACATTCTCTTGATTTGAAATCACTGTTCTATATGATATAATAATTAAGTTATTCAGTGATTATTTATTTGTATTTGCTCCATTAGATGTGTGCTGTATTTTATTACTAAGTATGTAATAACATAATACAGCATACCCTTTTTTATATTACATTTGTAACCCCGACCAATATCGGCCCTCTGGCTAATATTTGATGTGTCGGGCTGATACAGGATGTGATATGGAAAAGGGCAAGTATTATTCTTTATTTATTCTCTTATGTTGATTCAGTTAAATTTATATACTGTGTGCTAATTCTATTATATATTGTATTACATATGAAACGAATAATATATTGCAACCATTTATATAAATTTTAATTTTGTCTTGGAAGAGAGACACAAGTTATTTCGGTAAATTGATAAGGTGAAATATTGTAGCATCCATTCCGAAATAAAATATGTAACTTTTTACACTGTGTTGATAATTAAGCCGACTGGCAGAAACAAGCATCTGATTCATGTACAGAGTATAGACTGAGACTTTCCTGGCGTACTCCGAAGTTAAGCTTAAAATGTTATGCTAGGGCTATCTTTAATGATAAATGCTTATAATTAAAAAAGAAGTTTAGGTTCAAGTTTCGGAACTTTAAGGTGCTCTGAGTAACAAGCAATGTCAGGCATCGTGAGCACTTTACCTCTTTATATAGAATAGAACTGAGACTGGGCATAATTAATGTATCTGTGATATATATTTAATAAAATTAACAAATAAAGAATTTGGCAAAACATCTCATTTAATTCGACACGCAAGAGCATGCTCTACGTATGTACAATTTCTAAAACGAGGTAAATTGTTGACAAACAAGTTGATGAAACAAGAATATCAGCAGTCTCGTTTAAAATAATCATTTCGTAAGTTCTATGGTCGATACAATGACCTTGTCAGCAAATACAATTTATCACTGAGTCAAATGCTGACTGACGTTTTTCATACTAATTGTTAGGCCATTATATTTACACACTGAATTGTCGACGGATTTTTCCGTTATTTCCCGATCATGACAAGGAGCACACGGCGTATATGACCGGTCGGCAGGGGATGCTCACTCCTCCATGGCACCTGATCCCACCTCTTATGTTTTGGAGGTCCGTGTTTGCTCTGCTCCTATTTTGTATTGTTTAATGGATTTTGAGCTTGAATACTGTTCGTTATCTCCATATATTTCATTTTGTAAAAGCTCAGTTTTTCCCCAGGAAGTTAACAGAGTTCTTACAAAATAATTTTCCGAGCAGGCTGTCTATCTAAATTGAAAGAATAGTAGTAAAACATTTGCATGATAAATTTGGGTCGCATCCCGATGTTACAACTCCAGAACTTTCAATATCAAATGAATCTTAAAATCTTATGAAAATGTAATGAAGGCAATTATTAAATCTTTTGATGGTCTCTCTCTCTCTCTCGAGCCAAATGACTCGTCAAAATTGAAGAGGGTAAGGAATAAATTTACTTTTTTGGCTTTTACTTGATGAATTTACATTTCAGTATGCAAGTTCACACGGGGCCAGACACGTAATATAATATACGAATTCACTTCGGTCTTACTCTGTTAACATTTAAATACGTGTTGACACAATTACCCCAGACATCAGAATAGTGGAGTATTGAAATCGATTGTTAATTCATATATGGATATTTCATTTTAATACTGCTAACAGTTCACTGCAAGAGAGAAGAATATATAATACATTTTTATGCCCCCCCTCCCCCATAATTGAAGATTCGGGTCATATAGTTTTTGGTCAGTCCGTCCGTCTGTCTGTTTGTCCGCAAAAACATTAACCTTGCCAGTAACTTTTGAACAGTTCAGACTATGGCTTTCATATGTGTATTTCTTGTGACAAGGCCTTTCTTTGGATACCAAAGTATGTTACCTTTTGATCTTGACCTTGGACTTTGACATATTTTTGCAAAATTTTTTACCAAAGTTACTTGAACTTGAACGATTGGCACTAGGGCTTTCATATTTCACATGTTTATTCACTGTGAAAAAAAACTTTCGTTTGTTACCAACATTTTTGACCTTGACCTTGGAGTTTGACCTATTTTTGAAAATCTTTATTCTTAAATTGGTTATAACATTTAAAGGGTTGAAGCTAGGTCTTTCACATTTCATAAGTGTATTTTTTGTGACAAGGCCTTTTTTTGGTACCAACATTTTTGACCTCTTGACCTTGACGTTAAAGTTTGAACTACTTCTGAAGAATTTTACCAAAATTTAATTTTGGCCATACCATATGAACGACTGGTGCTAGGGCTTTTATATTTCACTTGTGTATTCCTTGTGGCAAGACCTTCGTTTGGGTATCAAAATTTTGACCTCGTTAGCCTTGGAAAATGACCTACTTTTGAAAGACTTTAACTTTGGCCATAACTTCTGAACAGTAGGGGTTGAGGCTTTCATATTTCGCATGTATATTCATTCTGACAAGATCTTTCTTTGGAAAACATTTTTGACCACATGACCTTGACTTTGGAGTTTGACCTACTTTTGAAAGACTTTAACCTTGGTCATAATTTCTGAATCGTTGGTGCTAGGGCTTTCATATTTCACATGTATATTCCTTGTAACAATACCTTTCTCTGGTACCAACACTGTGTACCATTTGACCTGCATGTGATTCAACGTGATTTGGTGTTAAGCACAGGGAATTAAAATTAGATTAAATTTTCATAGAAGGTTTTTTTTTATTTTATAAAAATTAGGTTTTCAAGGTGAATGCATTCTGAAATTCAATTTTTTTTCTCTTTTATTATTATTTTTTACCGCTGAAATAATGTCATTTATTTATTTTTATCTATACGCGCTTGCAGAAATACTTCACAAAGCTTCCCGAAAAAAAAAAACTTATGTGATTGTACATGTCGACATCTTATTGTATCAGTCCGACCACCCGATCATTTATTTTTCGCTTCATTTTTGTCAAATATATTTTTATACTAGGGTTATCGACCTTTGCTTTCCCGTCGTCAGCCGGAAACGATACCGTATTTACTTCAAATGCTATCTGTGTGTTTACCATTAGAATTTCCTCAGGAACAATGGAGACATGTGTTGTGAAAGTACGTTGTCCTTGTGACCAACCCTTCAAGTTTGTACAGAACATACTCGAAAGTCATGTAGTTGTTATTTTCAGATTTAACATAAAAGTGTATTTCCTTCGATTAATAGTACTATTAGGAATATTTATGTGAAAATGAAATAAGCATATTGAGGAATTTATTCGACTTTTATAATTGCTAACTAGAGCTGAAACTAATTTTCGAATATTCGCGAATGAAAAGTAAATGGCGAATATTCAAATGGAAATATACCATTCGAATATTTGGTAACATGATTTATTCTTTTACTTTTTTTTGTTTACTTTGTTGATTAAATCATTTTGGTACTTAATCTTTAATGATAAAAACTTATAGTATGTAATAAGTATTTAGCGCTACTCTAACCTTTCGATGCTCCACATGTACTGTTGACTACCTCTCGGGATTTTATTAGTGTTAGAAAGTACTGGAAATATGATTAGAAATTTAAACAAAGAATGCACATAATTTTTCTCAGTGTAAATCCTTTGTTTGTTGTTTAATGTTCCTCTCGAGAATTTTTCACTGATATGGAGATGCCACCACTTGCCGGTGGAGGGCTGCAAATTTATACCTTTACTCTGCACTCAGGGCCATTGAGCAGTGAGGGATCTTTTTCGTGCCAACACCTACTGCGACACGGGACCTCGGTTTATAGGGTCTCATCAGAAGGACTGGTCTCCACGTCCCACAGTGGATTCGAACCCGCAACATAAGGATTGGCTCCTTACTTAGCGACTCTAGAACAGACGCTCTAACCACTACACCACTAAATCCTTTTGAATATATACGCTCAAGATCTTTCATTTTCATATTGAGTGTAATTCATGCCTATCAATTTCATCACCGATCATTTGCATGGCCTTGTCATTTCAAAGCATTTTTCTATCACGGGTGTCAAAAATCACAAATTTTTAATGTGTTTTCTTTTAAAAGGATATAATGTGTTTTCTTTTAAAAAGAAATAATCCTAAAAACTACTGACTTTTGAAACACATTTATTTACACAGACAGACCTCTTAAAATGTTATAATCATGTTCAGTAATGCGTAATGTGAATACCCCAATAACGCACGTGGACTTTCGCACTTCCAACTTTTTCTACAGCATATACCATTTTGACTTTTCTGTATTTTCCATGCATAGGTTTTTTTAAAAAAATAAATTTCAGCATGTAAAGATAGTTTCTTATTTTAGTACATAAATTTACACGTTTTCCCACCAACCTAACCTTGCATGATAAAATAAGGTCTATGCTGTAAATAGGGCGAGATCTGCTCCATCGAAAAAATATCTTGTTTTCCATTTACTTTGAGTAGAAGCTTCAACATTTGGCAGTTTAACGTCATGTAACTGCGTCATTATAAATTTTATTATTATATACATTTACAAATTTTCTTTGGTCTGCAAATGTTATAGGTAATTATAACATTTTTAGAAAGATATACTTAAAATATAACATTGACAAATATTTGAATACAATCGAATAGTAGTCCTGAATATTGGAACATTGATTTTTTGTATTCGTTTCAGCTCTATTGCAACACAGCGTTAAATCATAGGTCTGTGGATAGGATGCCCTGTGATTAAATAAGCTGGAGATTGTTGACCCTGAGTTGTTTTCTCCCACCTTTGCAAGTCCCATGTTTTTCCCTCAATACGGTGATCTTGTACTCCCTTAGATTGACCATTATTTCTCCACCTTGAACAAATTACTCCATTTTCAAAAATAGACTTGTCAAGCCCTCTTTTAGCAGAAATCCTAAAAAAATGCCTTTTTATACATATAACCAACAACTGTTGTTCCTCTAGTTAAACAGTAAAAAAAACTGAATCGGAATAAATTATGGAAGCCTCTTTAGGACCTATCAAAAGTATTTTTGAATTCAATATAATGAATTGTCAAATTTGTTAAACAAATTTAATTCGTTATATCATTTTTATAGTTCATTATAATGAATTCAATCTGTCATAACAAATTTGTTGAATTCATTATAAATCAAAATTTAATTGTTATATCAAATTACATTCATTAACATTAATTCAAAAAATTGATATAATTATGAATAAAATTCAATTTAACATATTTGACAATTTGTTATATCAAGTTTTTGAAAGGTTCTAAATGGGCTTTGGTATAAAAAAGGATTTTTTTTTAGTGTTTTTTTTAATTCTTTTCTGGTAGTGTTATGTGCAGTGATCACTTAAGTAAGAGTTAACCATTCTTTCCACTGTTTGTGTGATTGATCGACTTACACACTTCACATTAATGTCAACATATGATCATTACAGAAGTGTTTGTTTGTACTTATATAACTTTGAGCTTGCTAACTAGTAAGATGGTAGATCTTTCCTGTATATGCTTCATCATACTTTCCTTTCCTCCGGGAACTTAGTCCTGAGTCATTGCTTGGTTCCTGTAAGCCAGTACCTCATAAGGAGGTTCATGTATCCCCCTTCCCCTCTCTCTTCCAACTTTCAGATTCTCTAGCAGTTGAGCCAGCAAGTTGAGTGGCTCCCTAGTCCCCAGTCAGCCAAATTCTTTTCTTTTACAAGTATATAGACATGTAAATCATTACTTCTTGACAGCTGTATATATTCACTGTGAATGAAATATAAATATGTGCTTTAACGAAATTCTGCATAGTCAAACAATTTTCATGATAAGAAACAGACATTTATCAAGACTAGTGTGGTATTTTAGATTCTGACTCATGCCCCTGGGTGTTCATTTGTATATTGATGTTTTGATCTTTGCACCTTTCTGATATTTTAGTGACATCTTGTCTCAAATTGTAATTCTGATAGTTGCAAGTCCTTTATTTTTAATGCACATTGGAAACAAGGATTTAAAGTAAAATAAACATTTTTTTCCCCTTCATCTTTATTGGTTTGCTTCAATACATGACATGATTGAAACATCTATTACGTAAATTATACACTGTATATGTTAATAAACATAGTTAAAAGTGGCTAGTAGACATCATGAAAATAGATATATTTGTATAGCTCATATGTAGATTGAATAAATTCATATTAACCACAGTATTCCAGAGTATTTAAACTCCACTCATTGTTGATATATACATGTTAATTGTACATCTGTGTATTAAATATGATGAAAAATCCTGCTATTTTTTCTTAACAGTCAGCCTACACCGTGAAATAGTTTTAGTGCTATTTGCTTATGGTGAAATAGTTGACATTTGATTTCCCTCGCATTTCTATGCCATTAATGGCATTCTATGCCACTAATTGTTGATTTTGTATAGTGTAGATTTAGACACACTATGCCACTAATCATTGATTTATATGTATTGTAGATTTAGACAGTATGCCACTGGTTGTCAGCTAAATAACATCTGAACCATGTCAGGTCTTCCGATTGACAGAGGCTGGGCCTTTGTTGTGGTTGTAGGTTCGTAAAAAAAAAAAAATATACTCTTATACTGTTTTATTCCTGTATAGCGAAATTGTATAGACATTTATTTTATATTATTGGACTGAAATGTGTTGGAATTGAGCAGTATTGTGCACAAAGTGTATGATTGCATTGTAATAGCTAAAATACTTTGATGACATTTTATAAGTGTAGTTATTTAGAATCTGTCAGGTATAATTTGTTATTTTAATGGTAACTGGTCTTTCACTTACAAAGGTATGTTTCATTTGTCACAGTTAGTTTCAGTTTAAAAGTAACAAGAAATTGATTTTAGAAGCAGTTTTTTTTAAATATCAGAGTCCAATCAGAAAGAAATAAATATTTTGATAAAAACATCTTATTTTTGGTTTTATATGTGCTGCTCTCATATGTAATGTATTGTATTGTAGGCTTTTTTACTTCTTCATTCATCATGGTAGGAATTGCTAAATCATATGGGATAATTATGGCAGAGCTAATCAGACAATTCCGGATCCCCACTGCAACAGGTGCCCTGGTCATGGGGATCTCTGGGGCAGTTTATACCATCTTAGGTGAGTCATAACATCTCGAAGAAAATGATTAATATCAACTCAGGGTGTATCATTATAGAAAAGCAGACCTGTCAAAATGTGCCAGTAACCAGTACTTTTACCCAGCTGAAATCATGATTGTACTGACCAAAATATTCGTTGGAGAAAAATTTAATTACACATTTAATTAAAATTGCTTCCACAATGTACTTCCTATTTTTGATAAAGTACCGCCTGTTTCTAATCTTTTTGAAAGCCTTGAGAAAAGCCATGATGTCACTAATAAAATCAGATGATCAGTACCTTCTTTTTTTCATTCTTGCTTTTTCTCCCAGCTCCGTTTTGTGTGGCATTTGGTGAACATTTTACCCAGAGGAAAATGGTGATCCTTGGCAGTGTTGTGGGATTCATTATGATTGCTGTTGCCTCCCTCCTTGTCAACATTGAGTTCTTCATCTTTTTCTATGGTGTAGGGACAGGTAAATCTAAGAACAATTCTCTATCCTGTTGCTCTGGCCATTAATCTGTCACTAAAGGTCTTCTAAGGTGTAAGCACAGATAAATTAGGCAACAGTATCATCAGTAATGTAAATCTGACAACAAGGTTTTCTGGTGTAAAGGCATAGGAAATTATGCAATGGGGTCATTTATGCTTTAGACACAGGTAAATCTTGCAAGAAAATTGGACCCAAAAAACGAGAATGAAGAAAAATACTCATTTTAACTTTAAGTGACTCATTTGAGTGTTAGACTAAATTAATTACAAAGATATCACTTGAAAAAATATTGTAATCATCTAGGAGGAAATTTATGCATGATGTGATCATATCAAGGAAAATCTAAATTTAAAATTGACAGTAAATCGATCCCTATAACATTAAGCAATAGTAATTTTATGGCAGATCTAATCAGGATACCTCTCTCTAATATTTTTAAATCCCTTCATGCTGATAAGAAGAGATAAAGTACATTTGTCTGAATGTCAGATAAACATATTGCTAAGATATTGGCAAGTAGATTTTAGGGCAATTCATCTAAAGTAGGACTTCATAAAATATTATGTAATACTATTTAAACATTGTTTAAATAAATATAAAAGAATGATTGTCACCACAGATCAACTAATAAAACTCCCTTATCTGCAAAAATGTTGTAGAATCAGATATTGTAGTTGTTTTGTAACTGTCACCTTTGTTTTTAGGACTGGCCAATGCCTGTTTCTTTGGCAATGGTCTGGTTATGGTTGGGACGTACTTCAAGAGGTGGCGCTCACTGGCAACAGGAATAGCTTTGACTGGTGCCAGTGTGGGGACCTTTGTTTTACCTATTCTCCTTGAGGCACTGTTGGAGATCTATTCACTCTCTGGTACTATACTGATCGTGTCAGCCATATATCTCAATGGCTGTATTTGTGGTGCCCTTTATCGACCCTTGTCATTTTATGCCAAAAAAAGTTCATCAGATCAGGAGCAATTGCCCATAGTAACAAGAGAACCTGATCCTATAGGACTAAATGACTCAGGAACAGAGAAAATTCAGACTGAGAAAGCTAAGATGGCAGATGAGCAGGATGTGGATGAAGAAGTGAAGAAGAGTCTTCTAGAAGAAGGTCAGATGGAGGAGAATAAAACAGAGCAAGTCAGTGAACCACAAAGTCCTCCAGCAAAACCTGTCTGGACGTTTCACATCTGTGGACGGACATTGACATTCCCGGTGATATTTCACTTTAGTGTGCTGGCATTGCCTGTGGTAGTGTTTTTTACTGTGTTCAGTTTTCTAGTGTTCATTGGGTATTTTAACTTTGTCTTGTTTTTACCAACGGATGCACTGGAGCGTGGAATTACTCGATATGAGAAGGCTGCACTTGTCTCATATTCTGGGGCTGGAGACCTGCTTGGCCGGATCTTAGTTGGAGTTATAGGGGACCTGACAATAATTAAGCGATATAAAATCCTAGCCACATGTTCCATACTATGTGGGGTGAATATCCTCCTGTTTGAGATTGCTGGCCAGATTTACTGGTGGATGTCCATACATGCCTCCCTGTATGGGTTCTTTGGAGGATGCTATGTGGCTATAAATGTCATTGTCCTCATTGACCTGGTTGGGCTCGAGCTGATGCCAAAGGCCCTGGGTGTAGTTCTATTGATTCAGGGATTGGGGGCTGCCATTGGTCAGCCAATAGAAGGTATGTCTGCATCATCACATACACTGAAAGTATTTACTGTTTTCCATTTCCCAGTAAAATCATTTCAAGCTCACCTGAGCAGAAAGCTCAAGTGAGCTTTTCTGTCATATTTTGTAAGTAGTCGGTCTGTCCATCTTTAAACTTTTAACATTTTCAACTTCTACTGAAGAACCACAGGGCCAATTTCAACCAAAGCATTCTTGGATGAAGAGGATTTACATTTGTTCACAAGAAGAGCCCCTCTTTCAAGGGGAGATAACACTAAAGAATTAGTAAAAATTTAATGGTATCTTTTAAAAATCTTCTTCTTAAGAACCACTGGTCCAGAAAAAATGTAATTTATTTAAAAACTTTATTACATGGAGCAAATTTGTTCAAATCATGACCCCGAGGGGTAGGGTGGGGCCACAACAGGGGATCCAAATTTTACATAGGAATATATAGGAAATGTATTTAAAAATCTTCTTCTCAAGAATTGCAAAGCCATCAGGTAGTGTATATTGAAGTCTGTTCAAACCATGATCACTCTGGCTAGGGAGGGGCCACAACAGGGGATTCAAAATTATACATATTAATACATTGGCAAAATCTTTGAAAAAAATTTCCTTTCAAAAACAGAAAAACCATGTTGATTAGTTATATAAATACAGAAGTATCCTCAGGTAGTATACATTCAAGATGTTCAAATCATGACCCCCAGGGGTATGGTGGGGCCACATCAAGGGATCATCTTTTAAATAGAAATATAAGAAAAAATCTTTTTAAATGTTTTTGTCAAGAACAACAAGTCATTATAGTCATATTAATATAGCAGGATCCTGAGGTAATGTACATTCAAATTTGTTCAAATCATGTCCCAAAGGGGTAGTGCAGGGCCACAGTAGAAGATCAATCTTTTACACAGAAATGAATAGGAAAAAAATCTTAAAGGCTAAAGCCATGATCAGTCAAAGAAATGTGAATTTTAATGGAAGCATCCTCAGTTAGTAGATTCATGTTTGTTGAAATCATGCCCCCCTGGGAGCATATATATATAAACTTATATATTTAAACTTTTCAATACTGAACTGATTTCTGCCTTCTGGTGCTCAGGTGAGCGATGTAGCCCATGGACCTCTTGTTGGCAAGAAGGGATAGTTGCGTCGATAACCTCAACAATTTAAGACATTCTTTTTTGTAACCAAACTAAAGGAAAATTGATTAGTGCCCTTTCGAATAAGATGCTATGTAATCATGATGATGAGTCATTTCCGCAGTTATGCAATATTTGAGTAATTTAAAAAAACAAACAAACAGATTTTCAAATGCTATCTACATGCTGTATTAAGCATGACTAACCTAGTAGAATTGCAACCTTTTATCAAGACAAAAAATCAAATTTCAGAAATATTTTAAACTGCAGATTCATCATGATATATCACAATGCCTTGAAGTAGCTTTAAAGTTAAAATGCTGTCAATGTGTTTTGATTTTTCATACCCTTTACAAAATAAAGATGTATCCTTGTAATTATGGTTTGATTTCTTATATAAGACTTAGTACTAATTTACATGTACCTTACAGGCAAAATTCAAGATGTGACAAAGTCCTTCACAGCTTTGAACATCATTAATAGTTGAAGTTGGGGGGAGCTTATGTGATACTGTCAGCGTCTGCATTCTTGGTGCAGTTATCTTTTTTTAAGTACTTCTATGCCCTGCATTAATCAGAGATGCATGGAGGTTGCTTCTAGTGTGTTTCATTGTACCAGTCAAGGTTTCAGATGCTGTAATTTCAGCTAAAGAATGACCAAGTTAATATTTTTGGAGCAGGTTAAAGTTTTTGGAGCAGGTTAAAGTAACTATAAGTCCAATGTTGACCAAACTTGCACAGATGATACAGCTAAGGATGCACACTACCAGGCTTGCTTCAGATGCTGGATCTGACCTACATTTTCTGGATGAGTGATCAGGTTTAAGTTTTTGGAGCAGATTCATTCTAAAGTAATTATAAGCCCTATGTTGGCCAAACTTGCATATATGATACATCTAAGGATGCACACTACCAGGCTTGTTTTTGATGCTGGATTTGACCTAGACTTTCAGGATGAGTGACCAGGTTAATGTCAAGATGCATCAAGGGATGTACTTCAGATGCTGGATTTGAATTACATTTTCTGGATTAGTGACTTGTTTGAAGTTTTTGGTTAAGTCCATTCCCAAGTTACTGCAAGCCCCATCAGATCAAAATTGCATAATTGTTGCATCTTGGGATGTACACTGCTACACTATTAGTTTAGTGTGGGACTTTGCCTTACTTTAAGACAGCATTCATTGAGGTGAGCTCTGTAATCTCTGATTACCTAAGTTTTTTTTACATATATGTACCTTTTCTTACAGGCAAAATTCGAGATGAGACCAAGTCCTTCACGGCTTTGAACATCATTAACAGTGTCCTTATGATGGCTGCAGGATTGCTTCTCTTCATGTACCCTCTGGTCAAGCGGTTCCAGAACAAGTCATTAAGACAGGCAGAAAACAGGGAGGTTCAAATCCCAGAGGAAGCATCATGATTTACAAAAACCAGTTCATTATTGTCAGTAGGTACCGGGTATCCAGAATGGCCAGCAGTTCCTACAATTAAATGTCATGGACTTGATGAACAGAAAACATAAGGATAAGTTAGCTTTATTTTTGTAAATTAGCATTTAAAAGAAATGAGATAGAGATGTAAATATCAATGATTGTAGCTGCTTGAGGATGAAATGCATGAGTCTGAAAGTGCTTTGGGTGATTTATTTGTCATGTGGTTTACATGAATGCTGTGCAACAATATTCACCTGTTGAATGTTTTGTTATACAACGATTTAAAGGTAAAAGGGTACAGTTTAGATCAAAACATGTACTTAATCTTTACTGGCCCAAAATAACTTACATCATTCTATATAATTATATCATCAGTGATGTCCATTATCTTCCTAATATTGGCATTGCTGATATAATTATATCATCAGTGATGTCCATTATCTTCCTAATATTGGCATTGCTGATATAATTATATCATCAGTGATGTCCATTATCTTCCTAATATTGGCATTGCTGATGTTGCATCAGTTGCTGATAACGTAAGTTGAATGCTCGTTGCTATTCACTTCCAGTGGTGGTGATTTTGGTGAGATAAACTGCCATTGGTAATTTTGCAGAAGAAGCATACAGCTGATATTGTTTCTGGCTAGTAACTGTGAAGTGCTCAAGATATTCTCCCTTTCAAAACTTTATTTGTATAAAGTATTAATTAGTTCCAACTACGGTATGAGAATTAAGAAATTTGTATTTAATACATTTTTATCTAATGACCTTGAAATAAGATGTACTTTTCAAAAAATTAACAATGGCTGTAACTTTTACACCTGTAGAGACAGGACTTTCATATTTATGATATTACATAATCCTTTCAAATTATAAAACATTTTTTGCACGATGGGCAAACAAATGACACAGTTTTAAATGCCATAAATCATTGCACCCAAAAGTGGAGAATACATTTTTACAAAAAAATGAACTAAAGATTAACATTCCAGTATATAAATATTCGTGTCAATGATTCTCCTGTGTAATACTTAGAAGGATCATTTTTGTAAAATTTTATAGCATATTTTGTTTTTATTTGAGATAGTGACAAGGAAAGGAGTACAATGTTTTGACAATTACCCTCATTTATATGTAATTATTATACATATTAATATATACTTAATTGGCAAAGGGAAGAGTAGCATTAAAATGAATTATGGAGAAACTCCTTTTTTTGATATATGCATTAATTGCTTTCTTTCTTTCTTTTTTTTATCTGTCTCAGGTATTTAGAGTAAAGACTGCAATGTTTGTATTCATTTTGTGTTCTTTGTCAAAGAATCTCTATAAATACTGAAATATTTTTCAATGTGCATAGCATTTTCCCAAACAATCAATGTCATTTGATCACTTTACATTTTTGCATTAGACACAAATAAGTATTTTTATTGATTTTTTTTTTCAATTTTACCCCATAGATGTTAACAAGATGTATATTTTTAAAGATTTTTCTATTCTGCTTTTAGAAGTTTGATCTTGTTTTACATTTATATGGGAATCATATTTTTGTCTTATTCAATATACTGTATTAATCTACATGTATGTACAATAAGTATAAAAGCAACATAATATATTATGATATACCACTATGTCTTTAAAAGTTTAAGTTTTACATTATAAATTTGACTTTTGTTTATGTATTATATTTTGTAGGCACACAATTTTTTTACTAATGACATTTTCCTTATGAGAAAATACAGGGTACCCCCAGCGTTTGACAGCAGAGATGTCTTCACATTTTTTTGTTTATTTTGTTGCTTGACAACCTTATGTAACTATTTAAGGTTTGCTCATTGCTTATATGAAAAAGATTTATATGAAAGGCTTGCTGCACATACAACTCTATATTCAGCTTTTGCTTATGGTTCTTTATATTTTTATAAAAAAAAGTTTGTGAAGTGAGTTGATTCCGTTTTATACCATCAGGGCTGCACTGAAGATCATAGTGGTGTTTAAATTGATGAATGACTCTCCTGTGTAATACTTGGAAGGTTCTACAAAGTTGAACAAACACCTAGGCTAGCCCCTAGTGGAGTAACAAGCATTGATTCCCCTAGTATGTAGAGAGAACAAGCATTAATTCATAATGTATTCAGTAGACCATGTAGTCTAACCTAGCTAGTAGCTAAGCTAGCTTCTACGATCTTGAATGCAACTCAATTGGTTCAATAATTGTGTTTTCGATCTTTATGTTGATGTGTTATGTTGATGTGTAATATTGTCTGCATAAAGAGTAGTAGACAGGGCATGGTCAATCTTTAATGAATTTGGTTTCAAAATATAGGGCTAGCAGCATTTGGAAACTTTTTTTTTATCTTGATGAACCTCTTTTTTTTTCTTTTTCTTTTTTTTTTTTACAAAATTTCCCGATGTCAAGGCTTGTCTCATTCTTCACAACGTCAAGGATTTGAGTCCCCTCATGGACGTAGGATGGGGGTGCCTGGACTCGAGACCTCCTGATTTTATGAGGATGGACTCACCTGGTCAGCTATTGATATTGCTGTCACTTGTCTTATCCAAAAGTACCTGTAAGAGGAATCATCTAAATGTTCAAAGGTCACATTGCCCAGTCACTTGTAAGAGGAATTGTCTAAATGTTCAAAGGTCACATTGCCCAGTCACTTGTAAGAGGAATTGTCTAAATGTTCAAAGGTCACATTGCCCAGTCACTTGTAAGAGGAATTGTCTAAATGTTCAGAGGTCACATTGCCCAGTCACTTGTAAGAGGAATCGTCTAAATGTTCAGAGGTCACATTGCCCAGTCACTTGTAAGAGGAATCGTCTAAATGTTCAGAGGTCACATTGCCCAGTCACTTGTAAGAGGAATCGTCTAAATGTTCAAAGGTCACATTGCCCAGTCACTTGTAAGAGGAATCATCTTAATGTTCAAAGGTCACATTGCCCAGTCACTTGTAAGAGGAATCATCTAAATGTTCAGAGGTCACATTGCCCAGTCACTTGTAAGAGGAATCGTCTAAATGTTCAGGGGTCACATTGCCCAGTCACTTGTAAGAGGAATCGTCTAAATGTTCAGAGGTCACATTGCCCAGTCACTTGTAAGAGGAATCGTCTAAATGTTCAAAGGTCACATTGCCCAGTCACTTGTAAGAGGAATCATCTAAATGTTCAAAGGTCACATTGCCCAGTCACTTGTAAGAGGAATCAATAAACAGTATTTCAAAGGTCACACCACCCAGTCCTATTATTGTGAGCTGACAATTTTTTTTTGCTTTGTCTCCTGTGGTTTTTTTTGCTTTGTCTCCTGTAATTTTTTTTGCTTTGTCTCCTGTAATTTTTTTTGCTTTGTCTCCTGTAATTTTTTTTGCTTTGTCTCCTGTGGTTTTTTTTGCTTTGTCTCCTGTAATTTTTTTTGCTTTGTCTCCTGTAATTTTTTTTGCTTTGTCTCCTGTGGTTTTTTTTGCTTTGTCTCCTGTAATTTTTTTTGCTTTGTCTCCTGTAATTTTTTTTGCTTTGTCTCCTGTAATTTTTTTTGCTTTGTTTCCTGTGGTTTTTTTTTACAATGTAAAGCTGTAGATGATGCTTTTATTTTTTAATTATCAATGGTTAGATCATGTTAAACAATATTCTTTTTGGTTTGCCCTTTTGTAAGTTTAGTAAGTGGTACATGTAGTAAATGTATTTGTCATAAATTTAAGAAAAATATGTTAAATGTTATGGAATGTTAAGTATATTTTATTATATGTTTTCTTAATCAATTTGAACTATTACTAGGGTGGAATTTATGAGACACTTTTTGAGTGAAGTTTGTTTGTTTTTTGATTATATATCTGTGTAAAGCTATTAATTAGTAAAGCATTGTCAAAATTTAAGAAATAAACAGCATTACCAACAAGTGTTTACTCACATGAATTCTCAATGTCAAGACAATCAAAGTTGGAATGAATTTTCACGAGATTGTTCAGATAATTCATTCCAGTTCACTCTTATTAACAGCTAAGAGCATTGATTCCA